TTGCACAACCCATCCCATAACATCCAGTGTCCACCTCTTCACTTCTATCCAATCCTCTCTCCAAAACCTTTCATTCCAGCCCAAACACCGTCCTTGGAATAAGAGTAAATCTCGCATATCCAGAAAGTAAAGGATGGATACTCATAATTGTAATAGTAATTGTTTCTTCTGTACTTTTTTTCTTTATGCTGATTTTTTTTTAAGAGAGGGTATGTGGAATTTAGATGTGTGAGGATGGGGAAGAGTTATGGGAGGGAAGATGGTAAGTTGGGGGGGTTTTTTTTAGGGAGGCTGGATAGGATAGGATTGGATGGGTTGGTTTGGTTTGGGAGATTTGCTTGCTAATGGGTTGGGATAGTGAGTAGTTTTTTTGCTACGGTGAGTCATTGAGATGGGAAGTGATTTTAAGGGTGTCTATATGTTTCTTTGAGTAGCTTGCTATATTGCTGAGATTATTGGTGAGTTTTTCAGTTAACCTTACTGTTATGGAAATCAAAATATAACCTTCGATTCTTTTTAACACCGTGAGGTTGGCGTTACCCGAGGCCTAATAGAGAAAACACCAATGGGACGTAACGATTGGTAGTTTAACAAGCAATGATTCTATTATTGTAATCCTACCTTCCCTCTCCTCCTCTCCCTCTCCCCCTCTCCCTTTCCTCCCCTCCTCTCACCTCCCTCACAACTATCCACCCCCACCCACACCAGGCCCTCACCTTACTCAGCAGCGCATTCGTACCCCTCTCTCCTCCTCACAAAACTCACCTTCTCCCTTTCTATCTCTTCCATTCCTTCAAATGGCTGCGCACATACATCTACATCTGAATTTGCATCACGATCCTTTACTACTCCACAATCGGTATCATGATCATTATCAGGATTTCTCTCCACGCGGACGAAACGTGGCAAACGCATCTTTTCCCCATGGAACAACAGGATGTGCACATCTATGCGTCGTCTTAGTCGACGGTGGGATTGGGGATTGATTTGTTCTTATTGGGGTTGTCGTTGAAGGCGGTGGGGGGGGGGTTCTGTTTACTGTTGAGAAAGAAGCTGGTCGTGGGGAAGGTGTTTTTGACGGGGATTTCATGGGTGTTTTTTTGTCGTTGCTTGATTTAATTTGATTTGATTTAATATCTGGGACTTTGAAGTCTTTTAATAAGTGGTATATGGCATAGTGCGTGCATAGCTTCTGCCCTGAACGTGTATTATCGATTCATCAATCAACAAACAGAGTAACACGAAAGATACGACGTATGCTTTTCCAAACATTATAATTTGTTCATTAGTATTCTCTTCCTCACATTCAATTGTAAAACATTTAATCAACCACAGATAGATTAGCAGAAATTCTCGCCGGAGTAATTAATTCCTGTATGCCTGCAACTTGGAATCTTCTCAGTCAATGTATCCCACATTTCTTGGCTCTGAAATCCAAACTCGCATTCGCGTTGGAGAGTTCCGGAAAAACAGTCGAGGTTCGCTTTTCCTTGTGGAGATTGCCTCTGAAAGAGGTGATGCTGGGTATAGGAAGGGATCCGGTGGATTGAATATACATGGGGAAACGAAGAACTTGTCAAAGGGCGCTTGGGAGGAGAGAGACTTACGGGATGAGGAGTCGAGTTTGCGAGCCTAGAAAATGCAAAGGTGTATTTTGGGTCCGGGAAAAGACATACGTGGGTAGATATAGCGCTTGATGAGAGGTATCTGCAGCGGGATGTATGGTGAACTTGATATGGGTGGGTGGGATGAATGGAGAGGCTTTGAAAGCTGGGGAGTAAGCTTTATCAGTTATGTGAGATCGGTGTTTGTTAATTCGCTTGACTCCGGGTACGAATTAGTGATTACTGGGAAGGAAATGCTTCGAATTCAATATTCCAACGATTGATTTTTTGAATATGGTTTTGGGATGGCAATTTACCGGTAGCATGGTTGCCCAGGTTGATTTGGAGCTCAAATTGCCAGGATGACTGCAACTTTGTTGGCATCATGTTGTATATGCGGCACATATGATGATGGATATCCACTCGAGCGGAGCGGTCAATAACACTATATTGCTAGTTGAAGCTGCTTGAACCCTTGGTTCCAAACAGTTTGTTCACCAACATGAACGAGCATCTCATAAACAGAATTCAAAAATGAGATCTTATTTGGTAATCCACTGTCGGAGATATCTTGGGAAACATTACTCCTTAGCGATGATACGTTAGCGAAATGGGCGTGATTTTTGCTCAAAGTATTTTTTTTACTCAAATCCTGTGATCTGACATGAACGACAAAGCTGTCGTCATCGCCGGTGGATTTAGATGTGTGGGTTATCACATTGTTCGAGTAGTTCTACAAGAACCATCCTTCGAATCCGTACAAATATTTTCGCGTCATCCGACCGTCAATCTCCTCTCCAGTGTTTCATACCATGCCGGGAATCTAACCTCACTAGAAGACATGAAGATAATCTGATCTCAACGAACCAACTTTAATCCTCCACGCCGCATCTCCCGTTTCATTTGGAAAGACTGCAAATGCAGATCTCTTCTACGAAGTCAATGCTCGTGGAAGTCGGAGTCTTCTTGATTATGCTGCGATGAGTTTGTATAGCAAAGCTTTGGTTTCCACTTCCTCGACCACTACATCAAAGCCTCCCTATAATTTCCACGATGAAGGACAACCTTTGATTGATTTTCTTTTCCAAAGGCAAATTTCAGTTACTACACCGTCATAAAAGCAATCGCTGATATCGCTGTTCTGGAAGCCAATAATCCGAAAGGTTTAAGGGCACGCTGTCTTCGTATCGCTCCGATATGTGGTAAACATATCCAAGTCTTCCCCGCATGGTTTGTAATTGGACTTGCGTTATGAGTTTACTAGATGTGTAATTTTAGGACGGTGATGCCGGAGAAATGAAGAACTCTTACGATGAGAGATATCACGGAAGATAGGACGTTTTCGATGGAGAAGGCGAGGGAGAGGTTGGGGTGTAAACCGGGTGGAGGACATGGAAGAGAATATTAGGGAGGGGGTGGAGTAGGCGGTGAGAGACAGGCTGGGATTGGCGGTTTCAAGGAACGATTGAATGGGGAGAGCGACGGGATCGAGGTATTTGGAGATATGAGAGAGAGAAATAAGGGTATTTATCTTGATCTTTATGACTATGATGAATAGGACCTCGAATTTGACAGCTATTCTCTCTTCCAATCTTACATACTTGGCATGCCTCCATCTCCGACGTCAATAACAAACACATAACCACAGTGAATCTCTCGCTCCACCTAGCCAACCCGAACCACCCAGCCCACCAACCAAAAATGAATCCCTCACCCCCAAATAGAAGCTTAAACAAACTCTCTCCCTCAAGAAACCACCACAAACTGCGTGGTACAGTGGTCTATCCCACTACCTCCACAAGATCGTCAGTCGCAGCGACCGAATTGATTTCACTTCGCTTGGGTGCACATCACGCATTGTCGGCCGCACCTATTAGATCTAAAAAACTGTTAATCATGAATTGATTCATAGCCTTTTTTGCCATCTTGACTTGTTTGTTTTTTGGTGGGTTGGAAAATCTGAGGTGGTGTAGGCGAGCAATATATTTTGTCGAATCAACTTTTTCATATTTAGTGAGTGAACGATGGGGTAATAATTGTAGTTATTCAAGGACTCGTGATGAATACATTGTTCTCCAGCATTTTACTAGCTGTATGTCGATGATATCGATCCTCGAGTTATGTTTGATGGCTACAGATAGTAAGTCCTTGAGCATTTCAATCATATTGTGTGTCTTTCTCTATATATAACATAGAAAACAATCAGAACTTTTTTGGATTCTTTTCAGGGAGATAATTGATGGTTCTGCGATAATCAATCCGCTTCTTACTATTCTCCGATGCTACATGCGTAAGAACTTGCGATATGACTCTCATTAAATGTATGAAGGTGTTGGGACTAGTACGATGAAGGAAGAGGAGACTGAAGAGTGTAAACCCCTGCCTAAAATAGCTGTCACTGTAATTGGCTAGCCCTCGCTTGCAGAAGCTCATTTATTGATGCCAAATACTCGAACAAAGGTGTTATCGATCTTCTAGGAACCCCTAGAGATTCTGATGACCATAAAACTAAGCATACGATTCATAGTGAGAATAAGAAACATTTGACTTGCTAAAATCTTTTGAGGGCCGCATTCGATGTTTAAAGAAACTTAACAAAGATATTGTGTGATATCTGAAAGAACACTGAGACTAAAAGCGGGAATTTACTATTGAGAGTGCATGTCGTGGACCTATTCTCGTAATTTCCTTGGAGAAGAAAGAGTCAGACTCACACATTATCTTAAAGCTGGAGAGTCTCTTATCAAGTGTCCTAGATTAGACAAAACAAGGGTTTGACGGAATACGAATCAGTTCGTCATATTTTCTCGAATTTAGTCTAAACGCCAGCAATAAGTATGATCTATAGCTCACCGTCAAGAATGAAGCACGTTATACTTAGCTTAGTCAAAGAACTCACCACCACTCAAAAGACAGCGAGGTCGCCGGGATATACTGTCGCATCTGGAAGAAACGAGAACATCCATCACAAGACCTAGACAGTGGGTTCCAGAAGCTCTTATGGAGATTTGAAGTTATTGGTAGGAACAATACCTCAAAAATGATAGGAAAATAAGACTATATCACCCAAATTTGTTAGCGCAAAGGATAATGGTGCAAATCTACTCTCTGCATTCACGCATGTCTAACAGAACAAGTCGCGTCTTGAAAAAAGTGAACATAAACGCGTGGAGGCTTGAGAATTTTGGTAAGTGAAGTGAATCAATTCTAACACGACAGATTTGTACAGGGCTTGCAGCGAAAAGGATCGAAGCTGAGAATCAAATTTTATTCTACTCTCACAACCATTGGCGTACCTACCATATTTATACCCATTCCTACCGTTTCATCACTGTAACGTTCATTACAATGGCACCCCCTGCACACAAGCGAACAAAGCATGACGAAGAGGTAAATTCAATATCTATATTGCAAGTAGAATGTCAAGCGCGTGGCTGTACTGCGGCCTGGGGGTATTATAAGATTGAAAATGAGAAGAGATTGCGGGTCGAGAGTTGGCTGTAGATTAGCCTTGATCGTGCTTTTTTCGCCATTGGTCAACTCGTATTTATCACTTTTTTTTTCCAAATAACCAACTAGCAAAATGTCGATAACAGATAGAGATGTAGAGCTGAAACTCACAGAATTCGTGATGGCATGGATATTTGTTCCAGCCATGTAAATTGGGTCTTCTTCTTCGTCCCTTCTTCGCTTTCCCAAGATAGAAGGCCAACCATACACCTGCTGTAGAACTGCAAGAGGGCCTCCATGTGGTATGCCTGAGTAGACTGGACCATTAACGCTAGAAATCTGATCCGCTGGAGGTGGGGGAGGAAAAAGAGGCATAGTGCTTGGCAAGAGTGGTTCTTTGCGAACATGGGCTAGGGCCTGCTGTGCCATTCTTTCCCTCATAATCCTTAGACTTCGCTTTGGATTGTTTGAATAGCATGTCTTGAATGATTTCAAGTCAGCGGTGACTCCCCACATTCTTTCACCAGCCAGAGATTCAATGCAGGCATGGATTTTGCGATGTCAACTTTGATAGCAGCTATGTCTCTTCAAATAAGAGTCCCCGCAGAGAGACAGGAGTCCTTGAGGAGATGCTTGGCTGGCGTGGCAAGAATTGACCCTGATATCTTCTGAGCGAAACCGATACTCTCTATACCATGTACGACTAGACGACCACGTTCTCTTTGTTCTTCTCTCTTTTCCTTTGTAGCGCAAACACTTTGGTTGGATTAATGCATGAATAAACGATTAATGGCAATATATGGGTTCGGGGGAGGAAGGCCAGCAAAGACGAATCTCTCACCTGTACGCGGTGCTGGCTACGAACCTGGGTAACCCTTATCGATGTATTGATATCATTTTCAAAAGATACTCAGAGCCGAGAGGGTTAGAAAACTTTGTGTAAATAGCCGGCAACAGAAAAATAGAATTGGCCCGCTGAACATCTCCTTTGACTCTCATAGTATGACTACATATTTGACACTTGTTCAGCAAAATTTTACCACTACAAGGCACTGTAGTCCTTCTCAAAACATAGATTTAGATTGAAGACAGAAATAATACGATTCTGTACACCATGTACAGACAGAGAACTGGCAAAGGAATAAATTCGAGTCTAATCTCATGAGACTGCCGAAGCCGGAAGAATTGCTGTCAGTGGTATTTGATGTCTACATAATACCAGCACCAACCAAAATCTCTATACAAAGACCACCATCACATGGCACCCTTAAAGATCGAGCCTTGACTTTTCCTTATTCCTTCCAATATATAACACCATCCACTTAGTTCCCGAACTTAGGTTCTTGTTTTGCGCCCTCAATAGCTTTACAGAAACTGAGTCGTTTCTCAGTGTAGAACTCAGTCATGACTTTTCCATAATCAGCAGCGCCATCATCGAGGCTCCTATAAATCAGTCAGTTCTAGACTTCCACTCTCGAATATCAACATGACTTACCCAGCTTTGATACCAACAAAGTCAGGCATGAGCTCGAGTTCACCAAAAAGACTGCTTCCGCAGGTCCCGCAGAATGAACGCTTGTTGATCTTTCCCGAATCTCCGGGCTGCTCATATGTTTTTGGAGTTCCTTGCAAGAGCTTGAACTGAGCTCGAGACAAAAGCACATTGGAAGAGGAGGTAGCGCCACACCATTTTTGACATGCATTGCAATGGCAAAGAGCAGTCAACTTTGGTTCGCCTAATAGATGTTATTAATGTGCTTCTGATGAATAAGCATATGATGGCCTGGAAAGACGAACCTGTGTATTCATATTGAATTTGGCCGCACAAACAAGATCCTTTAGGCATGTTGAAGAATAAGGAATTTATAGACTTGAATAAAGTGAATACGAAATGATTGTTTCTGGAACTGATTATTGTTCGATATGTGGATGAATGATTGTGAAAGAACGAGGAAATGCTGCCATTTTATGCTTTTGTTGACTGCGTTCTAGATCAGATTTGTCAGACACTTACAAGCGTGCATGATAGACTGGAGAAGTCGAAGGGAGACAAACTCCTAGAGATTGTTCTTGTTTGCACAGGTAATAAATTGGGGATCCACCGTACACCCGCGCGGCTCACTGATAGCAAAGCTTGCAGCAATTCCCAATCCTCGATGCGCGGGACGTAATGGGAGACGACCATTGAGAACTTAAAGCTCTGGGCCTTCTAAGTGACAAACAACGACACCAAGCACAAGCCTGGCACTCCTTATCACTACTATTAGGCGATATGATTCGTGCAAAATCATGGATGATTTTCATGGCGTACTTACCTCCACACTTTGCTCGTATTTGACAGTACATGCTCAACTTGGGCCTCTATGCACGACACGTTGATTGTCAAGCGATACCTTTTAATAGCTAGTTGAATGGGATCATTTGAGATCACCAGCCTCACAAGGCCATTCCTAGATTAAAATGTATAGGTGAATAAGGTTTTACCGGTGAGGATTTCATGATACACGAGGTTATGTGCAGTGTTACTGCTAGGCAAGTACCATAGGATACCGAATTAGAGCTCCCTACCCAAAGAAATCACATGGCTAGGCTCTTCACTTTTCACTGTTTAGCTTTCCCGGCCAGCGGGCGTATAACCTTGATTAGATACTTATCTTTAATTTACTGTGCTTTGTAAAGAGGGCTTTCGTGTGTTGTACAAGTCACATTGACTTTTTCAAGAGGCGAAGGTTGGATTGATGATTGATGTTTTAACCTTTTCGATGTGGTCTGAACTCAAGCTGGGGTAGAAGCCGCGCGGCGGATGCCAAGACCTTCTTACGTGGTAAATAATATAAGCTTTCTTACTGGTTTCTTGACCAATGTGCTAAACGAGGATTTTCGTATAACACATAATAGAAGGTTTAAGGTTTGGCCTAAGGGATTAGATCAAAGTCTAAGCTTTTCGAGGCTAGCTGCGGGCTGAGTCCATGGTGGAGTGGAAAGCCGCGCGGGAGAGGCCAAGACTTCCATTTGAAGCAAATTATGTGAGCTTTCTACGTAATTGCCGGTGGTGGAAGATCGATGCTTGTGTAACGCAACCTTCAAAGACTTAGCACCTAGTAGACTATAAAGGGTGGATGTCCTCCTTCAATCATGGGCACATATCGAACTTCCTCAAGATTTACCTTGAACGTCATCCCTGCATCCTTTATTCATTCTTCCCCAATATAAACAATGGCCGAGGTTTTACCAACTACGACAAAAGTCTGGAGAGTCCAAGGAACGGACGGTTTTGACAGTTTGGAATACAACGCGGAGGAGGCTCTTCCACAGTTGTCAGACAACGATGTTCTCGTCAGATTCCATGCCGCTGCTTTGAACTACAGAGATGTCTCAATACCTCATGTCCGCTCACACTTATCCTTGGATGACAAGATGCTAACAGAGACTAGGGAACATTTCCATTCGGGTTCAAAAAAGGTGTTATACCAGGATCAGATGGTGCTGGAGAAGTAGTGGCTGTTGGTGCAAGAGTGACACGATTCCAGAAGGGCTCAAAGGTCGTGACTCAATTCAACCAGAAACATATCTATGGATCACTTACCTCGAAGAGCATAAGTACTGCGCTCGGTGGAGACCTCGATGGTGTTCTTCGTCAATATGGAATTTTCAACGAAGAGGGTCTTGTGCTGATGCCAAAGTCACTGGATTATCAGCAGGCTTCCACTTTGACGGGCGCTGGAGTAACAGCATGGAACGCTTTATATGGCCTCAAGCCAGTCAGGCCGGGTCAGTTCGTGTTGACACAAGGCACGGGCGGAGTATCATTATTTGCGATTCAATTCGCAAAGGCTGCTGGTGCTACGGTTATTGCTACAACTTCGTCTCCCGACAAAGTCAAACAGCTGAAAGAGTTGGGTGCGGATCATGTGATTAATTATAGAGAGGTTACAAATTGGGGGGAGGAAGCCAAGAAATTGACAGGCTCAAGGGAAGGTGTCGATCATGTTATCGAAATCGGCGGAGGTGGAACCATGGCGCAATCCATCAAAGCGATCAAGTATGATGGTATTATCAGTGTCATTGGCTGGTTGAGCAAGGCAGACGAGAAAGAGCCGAGCTTCCTTGAAACTGTTAGCAATGTCTTCACCGTCCGAGGATTGTTCGTCGGAAGCAGAGCGATGTTCGAGGAGATGGTAAGTTCAAGCTTTTTCTCATTAACATCCGTTCCAAACCACTCTGTGTGTAGGTCCTGTGCTAATAATTTGAAGAATGCTGCCATTGACGCCGCCAACCTCAAACCTGTCATTGATCGTCGCGTATTCAAGCTGGAGGATCTCAAAGAGTATGACAAAAGGCCCCTTTCTAATTTAGCTAGCAATCAGTGCTAATATATTCTAGGGCGTACACATATATGAAGGGGCAGAAGCACGTTGGTAAAGTCTGTGTCACTATGGAATAGATTTCTAGCATTATCTAGAGCGAAGATTTTAGTATAAATGAAATTCTGGAGAATTTCAAATCCATTTATGGTACACTTCACCAATCACGGGAATGTGCTCGCGCGTCAAGCAGGGATTTGATAACAACAGTGAATAATTGCAATTTGTAACTAATAGTATGTTTGTTATACTAAATGATTGATCTTGAGTACAAAGCTCTACCAGTGCCGGGATCTAGTATTTTTCGTATTCGAATTACACTTCACTTTGGTGGTATGTATTGATATTTGTGAAGATATCCCTTGGATAGCTTGAATAGCCTGTCTATCCAGTCTATTTATCATATGATGATTGCTGAGTAAGTATCGTTTGATGCAAGATATGTTTCTCGTTGTAACACAAGGCTCACCAAGTGTAACGTGTGATACAAGAATCTGCGCCTCTACATGAATATGTATGCCCCCACTGGCCCAGTCTCTCGAGGGTTCCACTGGCTACTAGCTTCGTCTCGAAACCCTGGCAAGCTCCGAGTCGCAAAACATTGGTTACCGTGTGAACAAATGTGGAGTCAAGGATAGCGCGCAGTTGGGTTATGATCGATCGTATCTAAAAATCGCACTTACGAAACCTCAGTGCACACTTCTCGGTAGAGCTGTGGTAAAGATTTGACTGATAAAATCACCGATCAGACAAGAAGAGTCTTGACCCCTAGACTGGACATGGCTGCTGCCCAGCTCCAGGGACTGCACGGCTGATTTTTACGAAGTCTCCAGCACTCTTCCATGATCGAGGATGCATTCTGAAAGTTGCAGAAAATCCCTCGATCCAGGTTTGCCAAAGCCGCAATCTGTCGAAATTCATCCTCTTGCTCTTCGTCTGCCATACAGCTAACGATACAGAAAGGCCATACAAGGTGGCGTATCCATCGACCATCGGGAAGTTCTCGGAAGGCTTTCAGGGCTGCTGACACGCTATCTCTGATCTCTGAAATCTTAGGGTATGCACCAGACTGGGTGACATATAAGTAGACCTTTGCAGCACATGCAAATATATGAGTGACATGTTGGCTTTCTCGAGCTCGCAGCCCACACGGATCAGAGTTATCGCCAGTTTGACGGGCTCTATTGTCTTGTATGCCTCTTTCAATTTGATCTTCAATACAGGCTGCACGCCTAGCCAGCTGAAATTGGCTCAAATCGCCCAAATCCTCTCGCGCGACTTTCCACTCGCCCAAGAGCGCAATGTCCATGATAGCAATCATAACCCAGTTCTGACTTCCCATCAACTTACAAAGTTGGATTTTGCCATTATCTATGCGCAGAATAGAAGGGTAGACATCAGAATACTCTGGATTTGCACCTATAGTCACGGAAGATATACCATCAAACCAGATCAGTGCCGTAGAAAAGAATTCGAGAGCTAATTCTTCGTCCAAAGAAAGAGCATCGGAATCGGATGTTGGGGAGTCTCCCATCTCCAGCACTGCATTTAAGGTGTTCAATGGTAGCAGAAAATTGTCCTTAAGACCTATGAAAATGGTTCTCGCAGCCTTTAAATGGGTCTGCCAGTTATTACTATCTCCTTTCAAAACCTACCATGCATAATTTAGTAGGTTTCCAGTTCTTCGAGTTATAAGGCTCACCTCAAATGAAATAAAAAAGATCATACAGGCAAGTATTTCAACTTTAGTCTTTGTCCTGCCCAAACCGATTTCCAAACGGAGCCGATCAATGTGTTGTCTAAGACCAACCAGTGCAAGACAATGGTGCTTCTGCAGGTCTACGAGTATATTATCACTAATTTTAGACCCACTTTCTGAGGATGTAGCACTCTGATGATATGCGCTTAAGCTCAGCGCCGCATGATACAGTGGCTTCGTTTGTAATAAGATACTCAGAAGCCAGCCACGGCCACCTTCTGAGGCCAAAGGCCTGTAGAATCTGAATTGGAGGGGAAAGACAATATCCAGATAATGCATCAAGAGGCTCGCCTCGCGTCCATGATAGTTGTTAATCATGAAGCTCAGTGAGCAGCCCACGCACGCTGGCTTCCGGGACGCATCGCTGGACTCTGTATCTGTTATCGAGCTGCCGGTAATGGGTGTGGATTCTGGGCCATTCTTTGCCACAGTGAGACTGGCTATCTCTCTTTTGCGTTTCTTGTTCTCTTTTATGACTCTTTTGATTCGCTCCGATTCCGCCCTCTCTGAAGATCCTCCATCCATCCAAGTGGGCTTCTCACTGTAGCCATGGCAAATGATGCGAAGTGAATCACACGTCGAACACGTGGGTCGTTCTTCCTGACATTTTTTCTTTCGCAGTCGACACGTCCAACAACCAGTGCTACTTCGTGCTGCAAGCATGATATCTTGGCGGTTGACGAGAAACAAATAATCTATCAGTCAGTCTATTTCAAGATAAATGCCGATGTAAGTTCTGGCAAATGCGATGTAAGTTCCGATCTCCGGGACACTTGCTTTTCCGTCCGACTCTAAGCTTAAAGGGTGCTAGTTAAAGTGGGGTGCCAGAAGAAAAACCTATGGAAGATAAGACTATAGTGGATCAAAATATATATAATCCAGATCTACATAGCATTAACAGTCGGCCGCTTGAAAAGCCAACTATTAATGATTCTTCACGCCTTCTCCACCTTAGGGACGATTCCTCAACCGAGCCTGCATCGCTATTGCCAATTTTCTACCCCATCACTTCAACACGTGTTCTCAAAGTTATTGATTTTGAACCCTGTATTATATATGATAAAACAACATAGAGGAATTCAGGATGTCATATTGATTGTGTACAGTTCTTTTTCAAAGTTATATATAGAGCAAAATGGAACATTAAAAGCCGATCATTGGTCATGTTGCAAAGCTTGACTTGAAACTTTGTCATGTTCATAAATTGTTATTCATGAAGAAGACCCTTCCAAATAGACAACAGAGTGCTATACACTTCCCCTGTTACAGTGTTCTGCTCTAAATGGTTTCTACTTACAAAACTGAAAAACAATAGTGTTGGCCCTTTGGTCACCTCTTCGTTAATGTTTATCGTAGCCTATTTTTTATTTACATGTGCTCCCTCGCTTTCAACTGTGAAATAAATACTGAGATTCTCTTGCCAGTCATCGATGCGCAGCATGTTTGGAATCTTTCAGATTTAGTAGTCGTCTCAGAGGCAGCTACAGTTTATGCTATAACCCCACGGGCTCGACCAGATCAATTAGACGTGTCCCGCCTGCAAAAACAGGATGACTTGACGGGAACATCTGCAATCGCAAGGGCTAGTTTTACCTGTGGCTCGATGAGCCGGGCTTCTGTCTTGCGGCCAAGGCGTGTCAAACATTCGTGATAGCCCTGAAGCGCCCAGACGTTGTTTGGATGTTGATGAGCACGAGGTAGCAATCCATCGAGTCCAAGGTCCGCGCTATATACTTGCGCTGCTTCCTCGACATGTCCTTGCTCCAGCATTAGCGCAGCGTAGGCATGGCGCGGTGGCTGCATCCAAGCCCATGGCTCACTGTAGATAAGTCCGTCGCTGAGTTCAACAGACTTGCGAAGGCTTTCAAAAGCTTGCTTGTAGTTTCCGCGGCGGTACTCGATTTCTCCATCTAACATAGCAGTACCTACAGCCAAAATATCAACACATTTGTTGGGAAAAGCCTGGCGAGAGGCCGGAACGCGCTCAACGGCAGATTTGAATAGAGTTCGCTCTTTCTCCGCCTCCTGAACGTTACTGGTTGCGGCATATGCTACACCCTTTGCGTAATGAAGCATTGCCGTAGTGACGCAGTACAACTGACGATCAATAGGGAACTCCATCTTGATAATATCTTGCCACAGTCCAAAGCGAACCATGACATGAGAACGGACCGACATGAAACTCTCAAGCCAATCCGCCATAGGAGGTGACGAGACACGCAACAATTCCTCGGGACAAGATGCCTCCATCCGGGCTACAGTCTGAAGCGCGATCTTAGACTGACCCGCAAACATTGCCGCATAAATCAAGGAGTGAAAATCGTGAAGCCGGTAAAAGGTATAGAAATTATTCCCACCCGACCGGCTTAGAAACTTATCATCTGCAATGGTGGAGTTGTAGTTGGAGGCAATTGCGCGCCGATAATCACCTATGAGAACATCCAAGTGCGAAGGCATGTGATGGAGATGACCAGCATCGGGTATCAAGTCGCGTAAATGATCTGCCGCGTTCAATCCAAGTTCTGGGTTCGGAGACATCTCAATATAGTGGATGTACATGTGCAAAAGGCCTGGGTGTTTCAATGCACCATCCTGTTCCAAGGCCCGCTCGAGGACGCTCTTGATCTTCAAGGTGCGAGCGCCCGGGCCCGGATTTCCGGTGTGAAGATCCCACAGATTCCATGGGGTCAGATTCATCATTGCGTCAGCATAGAGAGTGGCTACGTCAACACTATCCGGATGCTGTTTATAGACTGATTCCATCGCGTCCGCGTAAGCTCGGTTTTGGGCGGAGTAATCCTTGACTAGGTAGTCAGGCTGAAAGCGAGATTGGATAGCATCGATGAGCGCCTGCTCGAGTGGCGTCGCACTGGCGGCGTTTTCTTTTGCTTGTCTGGAGGCTTTATATGTCCGCTCCACCGTTATTTTGAGGTCATTCTCATCAAAAATCTCCCAGGGTTTGTTGTAGTTTGGGCCCAAGGCGAATGCCAGCCCCCAATAGGCCATTGCACAAGAATGGTCGTGTGCTATAGCCTGCTCGAAGCAAGCGGCCGCTTCTGCGTGGTTGAATGCATAGACCCATGTTAAACCACGGTTGAACCACACTTGTGCATCTTTGCTCTTGGTGCTGATCTCCTGCTTGAATGATCCGAGGTTGTAGTATTCAGTGGTTGAAGGGATAGGGCCTGCTTGCCGAATTTCAAACGTCATTGTAGATGAGAGAGGGGCCTTGAAGGTCGTGTTGTAAATGTAGGTGGAATATTTGAAGTGCGGAGAGGAAGAAGGCTTTTCACATCTTTAATATATTCACTGGATGATCTACCTCCACAAAAAATAACGCTCTCTTGAGATAGATACGCTAGAGAATCGGGAATTTCCGCTAACTGGATCAAAACCCGAGATTAAATCTCTCCGAACAGCCCATTCATAAACTCTAAATTTGTGTGCGTTTGATCCGGGAAGTTTTGCTAGTAGCATTCCTTGAGGAAAGTTCTGGACTTGATTAGATGCAAAGTGCAATTGATAAGCAGCTCCGGTGCATTTACCGTGCTGTTTCCTGTGGTTGACACTGCCAAATTTAGAGCTCAAAATCAGATTTATGTTTGCAGTTGTGAGGATGTAAGCGATAGGTGCGGAACTCACGGTACAGTTACGTAGTATGCAGTGGGTCAGCGATAATGAGAGTCGATTGAGGTATGGGGGCGTCTCGATCGTAAGGGTCTAAGACGGTGGGACGTAGTGGCAAAATCTGGCTTAGCCTTATACAGAGATATGAAGTCAATTTTTTGCTCCCGCGCGGCTTTATCAGATACAGAGTGTGCCAACCTAAATATATCTGACAGTTGTAGCAGGCATATGATCTATGCAAAGATCATGCCGGGCCGTTTGTTCTCCCAAAGAATAAGAGCATCATTACTAGCTTCCGTAGTAATTAGCAGGTATGCCTCGGATTGTAGTCTAATGCTTGGGAAATCGTATGTTCCTGGCGCACGGCTCCCCATCTTCGGCTCGCCTTGCCTTCCGCAGAGATTCTCGGCAGAGATGCTTTCGAGAATTGCCTTTTTTTTTAGACAAATCATCCTTTGATATTGATCTGGCTGTAACCTGTTGTCTGCATTTCTAATTCAATTTGACTTCGACTGTTACTAAGATCCGCCTTCTCCGGACTCGACTCTGGTGCTGTTTAGCGACTAATAGAATGAATCGCCAATTTCTACAATCTAGAATAATGAAGATTTTAATATATAAGGCATCCTCTACCTTGGATAGTCTCATCAGTACCTGCCTTCAAATCAATCCTCTTATCCGACAATCCAACCGCTATTGAAAGTTTCAATTTCTCATCTAGCTTGACGACAAATCTCAAAATGCTTCCAATCACACTTTATTCTCATCCTTTCGGTCCTAACCCGTGGAAGGTGGCTCTCATCCTCGAGGAACTGAACATCCCTTACACAACAAAGTTTGTGGATTTCTCCGAAGTCAAAAAGGAGCCGTATACTCAAATCAACCCAAACGGGCGGCTACCATCTATCCAAGACCCTAACACCGACATTACGCTCTGGGAATCCGGTGCCATCGTCGAATACTTGATCGAAAAATATGATGTCAAAAACCGGTTGAGCCATAACACCTTCCCCGAAATATATCTCGCTAAACAGTGGCTGCACTTCCAAGCTTCTGGTCAAGGGCCATACTATGGTCAGGCTTCATATTTCACCGGGATCCACGCCGAAAAGATCCAAAGTGCTATTGACCGATACGCAAAGGAGATACAGAGAGTCACTGGAGTTCTCGAATCTGTGTTGAAGACTCGAGACTGGTTGGTCGGCGACAAATGCACCTACGCCGATCTCTGTTTCATAGCATGGCAAAGATGGGCACCTCGATATGGTGGTGAAGATCTTTATAAAGATTGCCCACATGTGGAGGCATGGCTGGAGAGGATGAAGATGAGGCCTGCAGTCAAGAAGATTTATGCTGATCAAGATGTCGCTATGTCAGAAGCCGGGAAGAAATGAACATGCTAGCATATGGGTAGATGACCATACACAGTCATGCTGTCTATACCAGGACCCCCGTAGCACATAATCATTTCTCACTTTCTGCTGTGCTCTTCTGTCGATCTGTTGCTTCAGTAGTGACCTTGTTCGAGTTCGTTTGAAAATTAGCCGCCCATATGTATAGATCATATCTTTATCATCAATACAAATGATTCCGTTCTCGCCCTTTGGACCCAATAGTATTCAACTTCAACGACACCTGTAAGTCAGTTCAAAGGATGAGGTTTTGATATTGCACCTCAACAGCTTCACGAGCCGCAATGTTAATCTCTACTATCATACCATGGTTCAAAACCTGCACGTGATGTATCCTGTAACCTGTACTCTGTTTATAGAGCCACGATTAAATGAGAAGAGAACCAAGTGAAATTTTCACCTTCAAAAGGATTGATATTGAATGCAAAGATCTTGTGGTTTGAGTCTAGAATTTCGGATTTATCAATCAAACGAAGATGAAGAAGATTTAGTCATTAGCAAGACAATATAAATTTCGGAGTAAAACTATCTACCTTTGCCAATCTGTACTGTGATGCAAAGTCTAAGAAGTACTTTAAGAGTATTTCAACGGTTAGAAACAAGGTTATCGAGTCGTGCCACGACATCGAAAAGTATGGTGGACTTAGAGCTATTACCAGCAGTGTAACCACTCAATCACTTGATTGGTGTATACTTTGAATTATCCTTATACCTGCCTGTACTTGACACATCAGGATTTCTGTCGACGTCCATTGGTTCCGATGATTCACCTCAAGCCATGCGCCATCTTTCTCCAGCATGTATATTACTTGTCAGTACTGAAGACCATAACGCAGATTTGAATGCGAACACGGTAATTACACGAAATCGAAGCACGATAAAATAATCTGCATGACAAACACGCGCAAAACTTCTTCGGCAAATGGTATAAACACGCGAGGAGATGGAAACCTTTCACATAAGAACGTCCTTAAAAATCGATTTGAAATCTCAAAATCTCAAAAAGCCTTGGTGTATTATCCCGAAACATATAGCCATATATCATGACTCACCCACTGTTCAAAGATCCTACTAACCATCCCAAGTTGTTACATGGAAATCATACCAGGTAGTCAGACCAACGACTCAAATGCAAATCCTCTGATATCCGCCAAAGACATCAAATCAACTCAATCATCCAACAGCAAATGAACTCTTGCTAGCCTAGCCGTCCTTTGAAATGTGAAAAACAAACCAAGGGGAGAGAAAATTATCAAGATGTATTCATTCCCTCCCAAACCTCTCGCAATCCCTCTGGATTCGCCATCTCTCAATCCAGAGATCAAGCAATGAAACAAGAAACAAAAAATGCTCAAACCTCAACGCCCATTCCAACCTCAAATCTCAACACTCCTCAATTTCCAAACTCCTAACCAATCTCTCCATCCTCCCCACCACTCAGCCTCATGAGTCAGCGGAGCCAGCAACTATCCATTTCCATATATCCTATCCTATCCTATCCTATTTTACCATAAACAAACTATCCATCTACCCATCTACATTCGCTTAATCAATATAGCACATCTAATATCACAATGCATGTATTCATCTATCTATAATGATATATAGGGAAGGATCGGGCCGGCGGGGGGATTAAATATCTGACCCTATCTAGATTCCACTGTAACCACGCTCGTGTGATTAAGATTCTTCCGCACGCATGTCATTTTGGTTCAAGGCACCTTGGATCGTGGAGTTGTAGTATCTCATACCATATTACATGGCATCATATTGTATTCATTGGTGATCAATCTTGATCGTAATTCATCGAGTTAATTATGTATTTTGTCAAAAACAAATGGGGAAGGGGACGGAAATTTATTTCTGATATTGTATATTTACTCACTCACTTATGAACAGTGAAGAATCCATTCAAGTAGAATGTGAACTCGAAAGGTATAAAAAGAAAATCGCAAGAAAGCAAAGAAGAAACAAAAACTCCTGTTAAGAAATCAGATGATTTAACCCACCTATTCCCTATCAAGTTCATCGTCGCACCTACCTACCTACCTACCTACCTACTCAAAAGCCCTCGGATCATAAGGCTCCCAAGCCTCCTCTCCCTCATCAAGCTCGAATTCCTCTCCCCCCCCCCCTCTCTACTCCCTCGCCTCTCACCCCTCTCATAAACCCCTCTCTCTCCCTCGCAAACACCAATCTCGCCCTATCCAACCTCTCACTCGCCCTCGGTCTCTCCTCCATCCACTCCCTCAACGGCGTACTATACTGCGCCATCGCATTATGCGCATCATCCAACAACATCGTGACGCTTTCCTGCATGGCAAGCGCAAGATTGATAGTTTCCTGATCGCCCGATCGGACTGCGCGTTGGAGTTCCTGAAACGCGAGTTGAACGTTCTGTTCTGCGTCGTGTTTGACCACGTTGGCTTCGTAGGATAGGCGGGCTTGGTTGATTATTTTGGTGTCGAGGGATCGAAGGGTGTCGAGGGCGTTGATGTAAGTTGCTTCGGAATGTTGCATCACTGCAAAGGTACCTGATGCAGAACTGAAAACTGGGGGAGGGGGTGAGTGGGGATGATTTCTTGGCGGGGAATGATATCTATGGGGAGGTGGTGATGGGAATCTTCTTGGAGGAGAAGACTGTCTTCTCGGCACTGGCCTCCCGACCGGAGAATGGTGGCGGGGAGGAGTAGGAGTACTAAAATTCCCAGGTACATCAAGTGGCATGGGTTCAAGTTCTTCCCCAACATTTCCCTCAAGATGATCATTCTCATTTCCACCTCCGTAATCTGCCTGAGCTTGCATCATCTGTTCTCCTTCCTCAACTGCTCTATCTCTAACACGTCTCGCGGCGTTATTGATCTGTCTAATCCTATCTCTTGCCGCTTCTCTTACCCCACCAGTAATGTTACGAATTTCCTCGCGACAAATGGGGCAGGTAGTGTGGTCGTCGTCAAGCCAACGTTGAACGCAGTCTCGATCAAAAATGTGATTGCACGCAGTTTTAACAGGTTCTCCGTTCTCTCCACCATCGAGATCGTCCTGACAGATCGCACAGGTGCGTTGGTCTGCTGGGAGAGAACTTACATTGACTCTGGTCAATTGTGGTGGCATCTTGAATAACGCGAAGAGAGGTATCAAGCAGATAGAGTCGTGTTGAAATGATTGCTGTGATTTCTGTGATTGTGAGTGCTGGTATGTGAGTCAATTCAAATGGACATTGTATCCACTGCACTCGACACTTGACACGTTTCAAAGACATTGTTCTGAACTTGAACTCGACTTATTCTTGAGAAGGTACCAAAATATATGAGCCGCTTCAGAAAGTCTCAATCTCAGGCTAGTGTCGAGAGAATTTTGGTTGAAACACTTGATCAACAGCATGGAAGCGAGCGGATACTTCGACAATTTCGACGAGTAGAACAAAGAAATCACTTGCCAACCTGTTGTTGTTGTTGTTGTTGTTGATTGAGACAAAGAAAATAAACGACTTCACAAGCACATTGTGGAACGCATTCATTGAATCTCGAAACTTCTGAATTGAGCTAATCGCTTGGAAATAAGTGAGATGGCTCTTGAGGTGCACAAACATGGTATCTTCTCAAAGAAATCAAATACCAAAACACCCTCCCAGTGCAATTCACCGTCGACTTGCTTGTCTGAAAGCTGTGTATGCAGGTTTCCCAAAAGAAAATATGAGATGGAAAAACACATCTCCAAGCAAGACCTCTATGCCAGTGTAGTAAACATCGCAAAGTTGACAGCATTTCCATGCAAATACGCACAAGAGATCATTCATAGAAATGTCTCAAGCCTTGCCATTTGTATATATCCTCACAACACCGAATCGTGATATCCCATTCCCCAGAATTGCATTTATCGTAATATCGTTGTGCTGCATGTAACTTTTCCAGAAGCCATGAAATTTATTGCATTTGTTGTGAATAATACTGTGATTGTCAGGTTCGGGCTACGAGATTAGGCGATGGACCAAAGAGGTCAGAAATATCCAAGGCTGGATCTATGAAACCATTCTGATATTGTTGAAATCCATGACTTGGCCCACCATGACCATTCATTTGAGAACCAGATGAACTGGAATGACCAGCCAATTGTGCATCATGTTCTCGTAGTAGAGGATCTAATGTAGATTGCATCTCTGGTGATTCTTGGTGTTCGAGTTTTATTGGCATCTGGGGAAGCCGAGGTTCAGTAGTATAATGTTGCGCATTAGCAACCATCGAATCTGCGAACGGTTCAGACTCAGCATCTAAATCTGGAGATGATGGTTGTAAGGGAGGCGGAGGTTGTTGACGTCGTGGATTTTCGACACGGTGGAAAGACTTTTCATGTCGTATGACGACATCCCTAGATAAGAAATTAGTCAACATGACCTTCTACAAGAACGAACAGTAGAGTCGCGCAATACTCAACATACTTTCGCGCGTATCTACGACCGCATAGCTTGCAAGGGAATGGTTTTTCCTGGGTATCTAGAGGTTGAACTCGTATCAACAAAGGAACTTGCATGACTCGCACGATCGATTGTACTCACGACCACGTTCATGCCTTGAACAATGCTCACTTCTCTTGAACACTCGCTGACATACCGAGCAAGTGTAGATACGTGGCTGCTTCTGGACTCGGTTGGTCCTACTCGTGGTCGTACTATGCTGTCTCGAATTCATGATTCAATCGAGGGTGAGATGGAGTAAATAATCGATGACTGTGTAATATTGGAATGAACCCAGGACAAGGTCGTGAATACCAGATGAAATCGATACCAGTCAGACAGGAATATTGAAGACAAGGAATATATGACGGATGAGCGATTGTCTATCAAGGTAAGGCTACGTTGTTGTGTAGTTTGATATGTATCTTGGTGACAGTAGCAGGTAGGTGAGAGTTGGAGGTTGATCGGTACACTTAGAAAGAACGGTTAACCTTAGCGGGGTAGATAAGAGACTAATCCACTTTGGGCCACAGGCATTTTTTTGTGGTTTTTTACGATGGTACTGTTGATCAATTTGGATTCCTTTGATAATCTGGCGGGGACGACAAGCACAGCACAGACTTTTCTTATAATATGAATCTTCTGTCCTTGTGTGTCAAATGTAAAGCCATGTTAGCAATTGATATATGTTCCCATAATTCAAGATTTTATTTATCCACAATTGGTAATAATGACTGAAATATATACTTCAGATACACCGGTCCCTCCCGACACAACTACACGTGGAAAGCAATGGACATCTCGGTTTCCGTATTCTTTACACACCATATTGGTTATAGGGAGAGTATTAATCGGTCATAAGCCAACACCCAACGATTCCCTTGGGCTCTTTTCGGCCGAACTTATCGTATTTGGAACCACCAATTAAATTAGTCATAATCAAAACACGTGCTCATAGACTTCAATAGCACGAGACGGCACGATACGTGATCTAGGTTCTACTCTGTACAGTACTGGGTATACCTTAAGTAGTAGGTGGTGCTGTAACTGAACCCAGCCCAACCAGTTCAATCCAATTCAATGCAGTTCATTCCACCTTGGGGCATTGGCGATACAGAAATGCTACAATGCGACAATGCTGCAATGCTGCAAGATCAGTGATCGAGCAGATCATTTCAACTCAAATTATGATGCATATCCTCGACCGATGGGTATTATTCATGATAGGTATGGCTTTCCTTCAGACGGGATGGTATTTTAAAGTTTGAAAAGACGGCCATACGTCGGTATCGATTTTTATCAGTGCACAATGCACATCATTGCATTGGCTTTGAAATGAGCCATGGGATGATGCCAAGAAATCTTAAAGACCCTCGAGGTTCCCAAGATTTGGTCGACGACGAGGTAAAAGATCTGATGAATGAAGATTTCAACCTTGGCACTCTCAAAAAGAATCTCTAGCATGTTTCATCCCTACGAACAAAATAGGACCTTTGATGCCTTCTGGAAGCACCAAATTCATCCATCTTCATGAAATCACGACCCCTTTTCACCATCAATTTTATCATTCTTGGCACTTACGTTTCACGGCGTTGACTCAAATTACAATGAGCATTAGCGAAAGCTTCAAGATTCGGACAAATTACATAGCACTTGTCGATGACTGTGCCCATATGCCAAGTGATATTGATAAATTAATCCATCAAGACGGCAGATTCGACGATCCATCCTCGTATTTCTGCAATATAAGTATTTAGCTATGTTCTTTCGTTGGGTGCTTTACTTGGCTTGATTTATCTCTGTTCATTCTTTTATAACCAAAGCAATCATGTATTCTAGAGATATTCTTCCAACTTTGGCCATTGCCACTGGTGCCTTGGCCCAAGAAACAATATATGTACGTACAAAGTGATGGTAACAACTATAACCATAAACTAATAAACACTTAGACCTACACCGCCGACACAATCACAACACTGAACCTGTACAATGCTAGCAATACCTCACCATTCCAAGTCTACAATGAGTCCTTTACTTCGATTCTTGGAGACGCGCCAGCCATCAGCAATATCCTAAATTCTTCCTTCCCTCAATTCCATGAAGCCGCCATCTTTTTCGATGAATCAACTCTTTTCGTCACGAGTAATCAATTTGCCTCGAATACCAGTTCTGCTGCTACTAACAACAAGGCCATTTCCATCACGCGTTTAGATAAATCCGGTGATTCATGGTCCGCTACAATCATTGAACCAGAAGGAACCCTTACCCTTGCAAACGGAGGAGCAAAATACAACGATGGTCTCGTAATCTGCGACCAAGGATCCATGACAGCACCCGGTGGTCTTGTCTTTATGAATGCTACAGCTCCCTATACTACCACAACCATCATCAACAACTACTATGGCGTTGAATTTAACTCGCCCAATGATGTCCACGTGACAAGCGATGGAGCACTATGGTTCACAGATCCATCATACGGTTCATGGCAAGGAATCCGTCCTCAACCCTTACTTCCACCTCAAGTTTACCGCTACATGCCAGGTACAAATGATATCCGCGTAGTTGCAGACGGCATCCAAGAACCCAATGGTATCACATTTAGTCCCGATGAGAAAACTGCATACATTACCGACGGAGCCGGCAACTCCACTGCCCCTACTGCCCCAAGAGCTATCTATGCATACGATGTCATCACTCGCGGAGGTGAGCCAGCTCTTGCCAACAAGAGAATGTTCGCAGTACCACAAGCAGGTCTTCCAGATGGCATTAAAACTGATGATGCAGGAAATGTATATGCAGGATGTGGAGATGGAGTCAATGTCTGGAACGAGGGAGGTGTTTTGCTCGGCAAAATTACAGTAGCTGGTGGTTCCGCGAACTTCATTCTCGGAAATGAGGGAGATAAAATGCAAGTGTGGTTATTGAACGAGAAAAAACTTTGGCAAGCCAGTTTGGGTTTGGTTAATGGTGTGGATGGTGTTGATTCCGCGAAGAATGGTACATACAGGAGATAATCTGGGAACTTGTAGGATTGAGAATTGCAGGATTATGAAGGAATGATAGGATGGTTTGGAAGTGTAATTATATATAGAAAGTTAGCTGTGGATACTCGGGTACAGGCTGTATATGCTAGGTGGGGAGGTTAATATGAACAAAATACCTACCAATCCACCATATACTTTCCATGCATGCATCTCCTCCATCCGATGCATAAAATACACACATACCTGAATCCACACATAAAAGAACATGTATTCGTGCGGTCCAAAAGCATACACCCCCGAAGCTAGATGCACACACCACAAGATGATAGATAAACTGCAATAGGAATCCTAAAATCTCAATCTTTCTTGGCAGCGGAGTGGCATAGGTACTTCTCCTAGCACGAGTTATCGTCCGATATCTTCATCCACTCACCATTCTATCCATCCATCCCTTCCTCCCTTCCTCCCTTCCTCCCTTCCTCCACACCGCCGTCTCCCACGCCATCATATTAATGTGGAGAGCCACTTCGCGAAGTAGGTACTCACAGGTGGTCTGAGAGGTGCAGGTGCAGATGGTGTGGGGGTGGAGAAATTCAAACTTTTCCATCAGCGTTTGCTTCTGCTTCTGCTTTTGCTTTTGCTTTTGCTCTCGGGATCCTTTTCGAAGATTTATTTGGATGGTGGTGGGGTTACCTCCCTGGTACTCCCGAGTGGCACTCTCGATTCTAGAACCACCTAGGATAGGAATTGATGGTGGGGTTGATGCAATGATAATGATAACTGATGGTGGGATGATGGATATCGAGTATCTCTAGGGCTATCTATCAGGTGGGGTTGGAGCTTGGAACCTGGGAAAATAGTTTCTGGGAGGGGAGCTGTAGCTACCCCGCACTTATTAGCTTGTTTAACCTTGAGCTTGTTTTACTTTTTCGTCTTTTGGGGAATGGGAATTTGACGATGCGGTGGTGAGGTGAGTTTTGTGATGGAATAAATGGGAAATGGATGGAAAGGAATAGGGAGGTTTTTTTTTGTTTGAATACATTCTTATGCATTGTAAGTGATAGATTGATGCACTGGAGGAATTTGAATTTGGAAGAGACGAGAAATGTGATATCACGTGAACGTTAAAGTTATTCATGGAAACGTGATTTTGTATGAGAAGGAAAGGTAGGTATTGACGACAAATGATATTCTACTACATTTGCTCGCGCTGCACGCACACTTTTCTGTCCATATTTTGGTTTCCACCAGCTTTCAGCTATAAGGGTAAAGGTTCTGGGTCGTTTTCCCGTGTAGGGCAACAAGAACTTGGGCTGCTGATTGAGATTCTGCTCTGGCAGAAAACTTCAGATGTGAAGGTGATTACCTAGGTAGTTGCAGATGTATGGTTAGCAACTTAATTCGAACGAAAGCTTGCCTTTAGAAAGGAAAATACATGCAATTATCAAGCGTGGTCACTAAAATATTATGCAGTTGGTATGCAACGGATAGTCCAACCAGCCACCAACACTAGCCCTAATCGTATGATATGATTCTGGAACATAAGTCAATTTCCACACTGCTGCAAGCAATTATCCAAAAGTTCCAGCATTTCCCTGGGATTTTTGCTGAACAGGACAACCCAGAAGCTTCATTGCACACAAGGAAAATGAAGCTCGTGACATATTTTGCTACAAATAAATCGCCGTTGACAGACCATCCTCGTGAAATCACCCGATGTTGGTGTCTATGAAGGTTCAACACCACCATTTATCAAAATGTTGGATGACTGCATTTTCTGGTGCCGAACCAACCACAGAGTGGAAAATGTACCGTAATCCAATTACGACTGTAATTTAATCCCATTATTGAACTCAACAGCTATGAAACGCAAGAGTTTTCAGTTGATAGACATGCCCTCAAGGTCTCGTTTCTGCTTTCGAGAGTACCATCATGATTGATTTCGCGGGACCCAATCTGTCTTCAACACTGCTGTTGACTCTTGCAACGATCAGCTTGGTGCGTCTTTTGAAAACTTATTGGTTTCTTAGATACTCGTGCTAATTATCAGAGACCATAGTACCCAGCAGCCACCGTAATATATAATATCTTTTCCACCCTCAACGAAAATTTCCGGGTCCGATTCTATGGAGATCAAGTCGATTACCTTATATCATCTTTCTCGTGCGAGGTAACCTGGTATTAGACCAAAATGAAATTCACGAAAAGTATGGCGATATAGTTCGTTTAGCTCCAGATGAAATATCTTTCACGAAGGAAGAAGCTTAGAATGATATCAATGTGCATCGTCCGGGACATGCAGATCCTAATTACTAAAGATCCTGTGTGGTACAACGGTATAAGTGATTTATTTCTAGCTATTGAAAATATCTTTACTGATGTTTTCTCAAGCATCGGATGAATTGCCTCAAAATATTGTTACGTCTCATGACATGGAGCGGCATGCTCGATTTCGAAAAGCGCTCAGCACCTCATTTACCGAGACTAGTCTGCGGAATCAAAGCCCTTTGATTGAATCTTTTGCAGATTTACTCATTGATCGCTTGCATGATTTAGCCATGGATTACACATCCCCAATCAATGGCACAACCATAGATATTTTCCAATGGGCTAGCTGGTTCACAGTCGATATCGTTGGCGAGCTTGCGCTAGGCGAATATTTTGGTTGTTTAGCGAACAGCGAGCTTTATCCCTGGGCCAACACCCTAAATGATTTTCTGAAAGGAATAGTATATGCAGCGGCTACAAGATGGTATCCATTGATAGAGACCATGGTTTTCCAATTACCCCCAAAAAGCATGATGGAGATGCAAAGTGAACATGCCGAATTCGCGAATGATCGAATTAATAAACGCATGAATCTGGAAAAACAGAAGCCGGACTTTGTTGCCTCGTTCATGAAAGATAATGTGGACTTTTACAAGATTTCTCTTGAGGAGACTTAGTCGAACTTGGCTATTCATTTGGTGGCTGGGACAGATGCAACTGCAACATCGATTTCAGGAACGCTACTCTACTTGGTTCAGAACCCCAAGAAGTTGGATAAAGTTGTCTATGAACTCTGAAAGACTTTCCACCGTGAGGAGGAGATTAAGATCGCGACACTACGCAATCTTCCATATCTCAATGCGGTAATAAATGAGGGATTGGGACTTACAATCCGATCCCGGGGGGTCTTCCTCAGATTGTTCCCCCAGGTGGTGATATATATGCCGATACGTTTGTACCGGCAGGGGTAAGATCATTCATTCTACCCGACATACAAATGTCACTGACAATTGTAGACAAGTATATCCGTCCGACCCTACACCATGAGTCGCTCTGAGAAATATTTCTCTTCTCCAAATGAATTTCACCCAGAACGCTGGCTTCCGGCAGAAATTCGACCATCCGGATTCGATAATGATCATATTTTAGTGAGACAACCTTTCAGTGTTGGTCACTCTAACTGTATTGGTAAAAGTTTGGCCTGGGGAAAGATTCGACTTGTTATCGCTAGGCTTTGGTGGACATTCGATGTGGCTGAAAGTGGGAAAAGACTCGATTGGACGAAATTGAAGACTTTGATGATTATTCAGAAGGAGCCGATAATGCATAAAATCAAGATCAGAGATGGGATTGGTGAATTTAGGAAAGCGACTTGGAGCCGAGTTGGGCGATGGTAGTAGGAGATAGGCAATCACTCGTACTCATTCACATGCTCTTCAATGTCATCTTCTGGATATCTTGCTACTGTTATAGAAGATTAATGTGTTGTTATGAAAATAGGCATAGCTCAAATGATACCATATGATCTCCATATCGTTGTGAATCTATGTCAAATATTCCGTATCCTAGAATTTGACTCCGCAACAAGGTCCTTTGCTCTATGTACAGGCTTTCAAAGACGGCAAGCTGCAATTTGGGCTTCCCAGCACCAATTGATGTTTCTCTTTCGTATGTTTTCGAGATTCAACATGCATTTTTCTATCAACAATCCTGTTCTACGTATTTCGTGCGCGGCTTAGAAATTATTATGTGAGACGTGAACTTTTCTTGTTGATTGGAATTTCTGCTTCGCGTGGGTGAAAATGATAGACTTCTTTCGATAATTACTTAATATCCTGGCGCGAATAAAAGGCTGCCTCAATATCTAACATTCCAACCTGAAGGATTTCATCTATCCACCACATGTTCTTCACGTTCTCCAACTCAGACCAGTTGATGACATCCCGTCTAAGGGTTTCAGCTATCCAAACTTTCTCATCCTCAGTAGTTGCTGCACAGCCAGCCATGACAAGAGTCCATACTCTTAGACTCTTCACCTTTGCATTCCATATGTCGCCATCGCTCTCCAGTAGTCGACGCAGCTTAGCGATAAACACCTTAGATACTACGGGCGCAACGCCGAACCATCTTCTTGTTTGCGCTATGAAGAGCAGCCCACCAATCCTACACAACTCTTCGATCTCATGCTTTATCTCTTTTTGTGTAGTTAAAAGTCTCGACAAGATCGGATAGACACACATACCAGCAAAGTTCTGGTCACCCCAAAGAAATTGTGCATCCTCTGATAGGCTTCTCTTTTCATTCTCACGAGATATCGTGATTGTGAGGATACTCAACTGCTTCATGATATCGAGAATACCCACAGAAAGAAAAGATGAGATATTAGAGTGCTCACAGATGCTAACAAAATAAGCTTCGCCTTCAGCCTGATACCTTGGAAGATAAGGATTCCTAAGATATTGAACAGGCGGAGGAGAAAGAGGCACAAGGTCTAAGTCACTAGACATATTATGTTCGATCCAGAACAGAGAAAGTCGTATTGGTGGGATATTGTCGATACTTGATAGTCCGCTTCTCAACCCCAATATTTTATAAAAGCCAGCCTGGTGGATCTTCCACCTCTCCGAATTAGAGAGAAGATGCTAATAGACTTAGTAGATGCTTTATCAAGATTGAGAAACGACTTACATCGTGACACATAAACTATGCTGAGTTAGAATTATCAAAAGATAAATGAAGATGTATCATGATGGAAGACGCACGCCAAGTATAGCTCCCAGAATTCCATCTGAATTTTCCACCTCGAAATGTGCTAATCTCCGATTTACGGATCTAATAGCTGAGAAATGATATTTCATTGAATCACGATCCTCGTCTCGGTTTCCTTTAAGGGCATTAAGATGTAGGGCAACATTAGCCAACATCAAGTGCATTGCCGCGGAATCGTTTGTACCAAGCGGAAACCAGAAGTCTCTGAATGGCTGGAAGCACTGTGATGGATCCCAGACTGCAGTAAAGTTAATAATTATATTGTCCAATCTGGAAAAGCTTACTGTGATGCACCAACTCATGCTCTTGAGTGTCCATCTTAACAGGCCATGCTTGAAAGGGATTCACACGGCCATTACCCAGTAGAATCATCGAATTGGTTTGCAAGCCCATTGGTCCCTCGCTTTTTAATTCTGCTTCTGCTTCTGTGTCTACCTCCTCTCTATTCGCGTGTGGGATGGATATCTGGAGTGATGACGCACCACCAAAAGACCTTGGCGCAATGTTTTTCACACCATTTGCCCTTTTTGGTCGATTTTGTTTCATGAATGGACGCATCACATGTCTTCGCACTAGGGTCTTCGTCTCCTGTCTCTCTTTTGCCGAGTAAAAAGGAGTCGAGGTTATGAAAGTGTATTTCCCTTCTCCGGGCAGAGTCCTGGCTATCATCTTTTCGGGATTTTAAGACGCCTCGAATTCACAATATTTGCTTTTACATACTCACCCGGTGGGTAACGCTATTGTGCCTTTATAGTCCTTGATAGCTGCAATCTTGTACACCATGTTGGAGGCTGAGATTAATTCAAGTCATTTCAATTCTGTTAGATATAGAACATGATAACGGCGATGCAGGAGTTATTTTTGGAATTTGCTGACATTGCATGGGTCGATTACAAACCGAATCTAACTGGTTTAAGGCAATGGCCCCCTACTTTTCAGGTAGAGTTAATGTGGAGATGTGCCAAGACCTTTGTGTTCGTTGCTAATCGACATCAGACCTTGAACCGTTGCCTGCAATGCAATCAGAGACTCATTATTTTTTGACATGATAGCAACTTTGCAGGTTTGAACAGACCAAAATGATGTGAGATTTAAGTTTGATCTTGTATGTTGGGTAAGCAAGATAATCGCATGGAGTTAATATGACGAGTTTGGAAGTTCCGTGACGGGACAAACAATCTTTTGGACCTGTTTATCTAGTTGCAACGAGCCGATCAATTTCAAGCTTTTGCTTGTCTTGTGGGCACAGGACTTCTCCTCCTGGAATACAGCAGCTTCGTTTTTTTCAAACCTCAAGACAGAAGACATGCAACATCTCCTTTCAATGACTTTTGTTCCGAAAATCGCATAGAAACAACGGCGTACAAATCCAACGGAGTACAGAAGAGTTGGTGTGCACGGAAAATTGCTGTTTCTTAGTTATGGGAGCTCCAGAAACTATATACGAGCAGTCATTGCAGAGAATATATGCTTTGAAATTGAACTTATCGATTAAGCAGCCTGGTCCTTTGTCTGGCGAATGCCAATGACCTTAATGTCCCGCCACAATACGACCGCTGCCAAACCGAGAGCCGAAATAACGGTGCTAGCAATCAACATTCCTCTTTGCGTGTCACTATAGGCATGCTGGATTGCAGGGCGCTCAGTCGTTCCTGGCAGGAATGTCAACTGCGTTGGTAAGAAATCATATATTAGAAGTAGATCTGCTTGGTCTGTATCGGGAAGATCTGCAGAAAGCTTGCTGGGCAATATAGCCTGCCAAATAGCAGCAAAAATAGTCAGACCAACAGCAGGACCAATGTCTCCAAACAAGCCCAGCACAGACTGGCTGAAGACGATATATTGCTGCTCTGCGGCGGCGGCCATGATGGCGATCTGGGCACAAGTGATCAAGACCCCTTCTGCAAACAAAATAAAGATTATGCACATGACGATATACCAAATTTTCTGGTCTGGCTGACGAAAATGAATCAGGAGCGACGTGCCGAGGATTGTCAGAGGAATACCAAAATAGCGTGCGATAGATTTGTGACGCTTACTAAAGCTGATGATGCTGCCAGTAACGAGTGCGAGCAGTACCCCGCCTAAAATGTACGTCTGATGACATGACTGGCCTCGTTAATACTCAGGTTGTTCAAAACTTGTAGAAGAGAGGTAAAATAGCTGGCCTAACAAGAGTAACTGATGAAGAGCGTGAAGTAGAGGAGACAAGAACAGAAGACTGTACGGTCCTTGAGGAGAGACCATGGAATGAATGATACTGGGGCGAAGAACTTCTCCCATGTGGCGAAAGTGATGGTCAATACGACTCCAAAGACTAAGGAGCAGATATTAAGGGAGTATCCCAACCCCTTGGCCTGAATAGTGCAAATGTCCAATAGCAATAGAAAGAACTCGACGCCAGCAGATGTCAAAATGAGACCGACAGCATCAAGCACGCAGCAGTAGTAACTGCTAGACTGCCAAGTCGTGCGTCCACTGCGTACGTACTACCTCTGTTTAAGAAGATAATTTGACACTCTTCTCGGTCACTGTCTTTCGAAAAGGCGGGTGATTACTTTCTAAAGATGAGATCTGTATTGATTTATCTAAGTCTTTAGCCTTGAGAAGGCGAATATAGTTCTTCTGAGTCAGCTGTTTCTCGAGAGCCAGTTGTTCGACCCTCCACTTTGCTAGCTATCTGCTTTGAGGAGGTTGGTTATTCTTTCGACTCAAGTAAGTCTGCTTCGTCATCCCTGGTTTCAGAGAGTTGTAAGTTTATTTACAGCGGAAGTAGCCTTCGCAGCAACGTTTGTTAATAGCGTAAGTTGGATGTCGTCGAAGTTCAATCCTTGACTGATGAGCCCCAATGCCATCTATTAGGTGTGTCCAAATTGAGGTTCTGAGTTCGATGATTTCCTAATCTCTAGCTCCAAAGTAAAAGTTTGCCGTTATCCTAGGATATATTTCACTTGCCAATCTGGCTGTAGAGCAGCTATACGCCATTTTCTAGCCGACGACAAACAAACAACGTAGGCACAGAGGTCTGTTGGGAGCCTACCGAGGGTTACAAAATTTCGCCATTGAAAATGGCATATGGTCCGGCTCTGTGGTAGCCAAACTATTCATGATTTGGTAAATGTTTCACTTGATATATCTGGAGATTGTTTTGGATCTCATGGTAACTCACAAAATCTACCAATTCCTTGATCAGTTCCCGGAACTAAGGGTAAACCCAGTGATGACGATGTATTGCATGGCGAAGAATTGTTACATCTTTCCTAGTACAGAGGAAAATAGTTTTATGCTCTCAACCTTTTTTGCGTCCATTGACGATTTGAGAATAGTAATGGTTGATTTGTAACGATAAAATACCCCACGCGTTACTAACGCGGTATATCTGACACATACCAAGCGGCTCGCGAAAGTATAACTCGGGCCATGCGGGAACCCGCTTGATAGTACTCGGTTCATTTCGTGATTTCCATGACATTCTCCGCGATGTTCCAATTTCAATTCTAATCTGCAGAACTGAGATACCTGTGAAATCATGGGACCTTATTGGTGGCTTTACGACGGTACACGAACCTGCTAGCCGAGTGGTAGAGCGAGCGGGCTGGTGTCAGATTCGGCATCTGAATCTATTCAGATCTTCACATCCGATTCGTCGAATTATATGAAATTACATTCAAGACATATAATTTTATTGTGAGTTGACATCCGCCTTCTCGAGCTATTGAAGAACCGAAAAAACAAAAGTTTGAGCTCAGAAGGCCGGCTTTGGCTCGAAATCGACCTGCGATGCACGAACTTTCTGAATATTCACTTTCACAGATGTTGAGCTACACTATAAGGTCCAAAGAACTACTTTGATATCCACTCCACTATTTTGAACGTGAAATTGACCAAATTTAGTAATGATCACTTTGATCGTAGAAAGTCATTGGTTTGACTTCTATGCCGCTGCGGAATTTCAAAAACTGTTACCTAGAGTTTGTCTATGCAAAAGTTTGCAAGGCTAATACTTGCGACGAGGAGTCGTCTTGATAGCTACCCCAAGTGAGGACATTTCTAGTCCTGAAACATATAATGTGGATGCTCGGGAAGCGTTTGAGAGACATCAATTTCGATATTACTGCTTCCTGTATTGTCCTTGTGCATTGACTACGATTAATTACACACTTGATTCGTACGAACTACTCTCACAGAGATATTATGAGCCATATAGTCTCACTTGGAACACAAATCAAACTGTGTGTTTTGTGTCAAGATACCATTATGTGGTTCAAAAAGTCTTTCATCACGGAGAAGTGTTCCACAATGACATCTACCGCCAATCCTTCCAAAACGATGGTATGCAACGACATTTTAAATATTATCTTTAATTACGCCCTCAACAAATTCGATGACACAGAGGATAGAAATAATGCGGGTAAGCCCAAGTTCTTGTCGGTCATTGAGAAATTTGTCAGTAGTGGAATACCGGTGGAAATGTGCCTTCCAGCATTTCCCTTCAAGTCGTCAAACAAGGTCCATAAAGTCTTCGGCATTCTGCCTGACAAAGCCGAAGAGATTGCTCTTGATCGACTAAACACAATGTGTTTGCGCATTGGAGAAGTGTACCAGCCTGGAGCCAAGTGCACAATCATTTCCGATGGGCTCGTTTATAATGGTCTGTCTTTTCCTTATCAATCAATGATCTTGACCCAAGCTACTGGCTAATTAAATCTCAGATCTATTACGTATATCGGATCGCGATACATGGGCGTACGGAGAAGCCTTACGTGCAATGTCTCAACAAAGGTTTCGACTACATCTGCTTCTCCAGAATTCAAGACTTTGTCAATTTTCCATTGCCAGAAAAGCTAGACGAGATCACTTACGTAGCTAACGCCACCAATTTTCGTCTATCTATGATTAATAGATGGGGTAAACAGAACATCAATATCGAAGATGAGATTGCCAACAATCCTGATACAAAAATGACTTATCTGGGATATCGAAGATTTCTTGAATCAGATTTGCGATATATTTTTCCACTTGGAAATGGTCGAAGTAATACCAACTACAAGAAAATGTGAGATACCTCGCTAAGCAAATGCTCATTCGAGGATATGTAAGTGAAGATACTACCAAGACCAAGCTTCCGCTTATTTTGCTAAATTCTCGAAACAGGCTTTTGCAGGAGCGGTCAAATATGCTTTCCCAAATCATTTACGGCTGTCCATTCATCAGTCAACAGGCGATCACAAGATATCTATGAGTCTGCTAAATACAAAAACTGGCTTTACAACCCCTTGGCATTGTAGCGTTGCTTTGATGGCAGATGGCGAGTGGATAAGCGCTCCGATGGGAGATTTTAAAGAAAATAATAATTTGGAAGTTGTCTACGAAGATGGTCGTCCTAGCTACTTCAAAATGAAGAAGCACACTATCGAACGCCGGGTAGATGATACGAACCCAGAAATCAATCTATCGAAAATTTCTGCGGGTCTCTCTTCCAGGTTCATGGCCGGCGAAAATAAAACTTCGCAGAAATTCCAGCAACAGTCCTCGGTAGTAGTATCTATATTAGCCATTTAGTGCTTATATGAAAGACAAGATGGAAGTGTTTGAGAACTTGGAGCAAGCTGTCACTTGCATGTTGGAGTTGTCTCTTCTGATCAATCGACTCATTTGGAACTGTTTACAATTATCTATATAGTAAGACAGGAAGAAACAGCGTCTCAGGCTGTTTGCTACCCCTAGTAATTTGATGAAGAGTGAAGAGATGCTTATGGTAGTGCCAACTAGTGGTAGTTATCAGGTACATAGAACAATATCAGTTACTCAACCAACGGAAGTGCGCCCTTCACTTTGCTCTAGCCTCTATTTAATCAGCGTTCAGCCACGCACCCACAGCGATAGCTAAGACTTCAAGGGTGTGTGTACTCTATCCAATCATTATTCCCTAAGTTACATGAGTTACATGAGTTAAATAACAACAAACGATTCTCTAGTCCATCCGAACCACCTTTCTAATCGTTTTCCTCACCCCCGCAACATAAATTTTCAATTTTTGCAGTAGAACGTGGCTTGTGGAATACTATCCTACCACCATCAACATTCTTGAGGAATGTAACAGCAGATCCATCAGACTCCATTGCTGTGAATTCGGCGTCGTCCATTACAGTAAGAAAAGATCTCCAATCCAATGGCTTGGCAGCGTACTCCTCAACTGTACTGGGGAACATACGCGAAAGGATTGGTATATTCGACGACTTAATACGGACAGTTTTTTGTGGATTTACTGGAGAAGGATCATCTTCACTGTCCACACTGGGGGCTTCTGGTTTGCTGGAAGTCTGCTGCTCCGGTCTTGTCTTGGTTTCCTCCTTCGAGCGATTAGAGATGTTCAAGGTTGAAAGATCTTCAGTAGCATAAGTCAAATCCCAATTATTATCGACGGCGAAGGGTTGTTGCACAGGCTTCTGAGACTGAAAAATGCTTTCTCTTTGCAGTTTGAGCGCCAGAAGATGCTCCGGAGCACTATCGTAGGACAACATAGCCATGTCGTGTTCATAGTCCTTTTCGGTCGAGAACTTATGTTTCGTGAGTATGTTAGCATGAATTGCCCGCACGTGGGCCCACAAGGCCGACGCATTATTTCTGACCTCATCTGCTTTACTTAACCACGCTGCATCCCTTTTGCCTTTTGAAAAAGGTGTCAATTAAACAATCTTGAGAAGCTGCTAAACGCTCAGTTCCTTCAGCTCTTTCTTTGTCCGGAACACCTCTCCAAGCTAGGCGCTCTCGACCTTCTACTCGGGCGGTATCTATGTTTGTAACTCTAAATAGAGGTCTATGCTGTCTTACTGCTGCTAGTAACTCGTAGGTAGTAGCGAATTCAGATACAATTTCGAGTATCTGTGGCTCAAGTCGTTGTTTTTCCTCTGCTGTTGTTGTGTCCTTATTTAGCCAATCTGTCAAGAATCCAAGCAACATGGAAGCGTCATTGTTATAACTGGTGCGAATCGAGGTCTACATTTTTTTAAACAAATCTACAACAATTTTTCAAATCTGACGATTGCAACGGGACTCGGTCGTGGCTTTCTGAAAGCCCTGGCTCAACGAGCAAAAGCTGCCATTATAGCTGGCGTCCGAGACCTGTCCTCCACGAGCTCAAAATCTCTCTCTGATCTCCCTATACCCAATGGTAGTCGCATCATCCCACTGGAAATTTCCAGCACCGATGACCTGTCTCCATCTCAGGCTGTCAAAGAACTCACAAATACTCACGGTATTACATCTATTGACGTAGTCATCGCCAATGCAGGAATATTACAATACTACGGCAAGGTTTCCGAGACCCCTCCATCCAAAGTACGCAACCATTTGGAAGTCAACACAATCGGAGTTTTAACTCTCTATCAAGCCACTCTTCCCCTCCTTTTGATATCTCCAGATCCAGTCTTCGTAGCCTTGTTAACAGCTGTCGCGAGTATCGGTGTCATGGGGGACATACCAATTCCAGCCACTCCATACGGAATGAGTAAAGTGGCATTAAACTATATGGTTCGAAAAATCCATTTCGAGAATGAGAAACTCACTGCTTTTGTTTCGACTACAGGGTGAATACAAACGGAAATGGGAAACACTGAGCGATAGCCATGGGGTTGGAAAGTGCGCTGGTAAAAATCGAGGACAGTATCAAAGGAATGCTGGAGAAGATTGATAATGCAACAAGGGAAGGAACATCAGGTACTCTGCAATCGTTCGATGAAAAGAAGTAGTAACCTTGGTAAACAAAAGCAAATGGGTTTTGTCGAAGCTGACTGGTATCTCATCATCACAGATGAAACCAAAATGCGGGCCTCCCGGACTTACCGTAAAAGGACATTGAAAGAGACAGGTGGACGGGAAGACATTCATTTTCGGGTATTATCATATCTGTATGCTTAAAATTGACCTTCGGTATTTCCGTCGCCCATACTCTTACTACTGCTACTACCACTCTGGATAGCACCTAGAATGCCATCTATGTATGATGCACCGCTCCATTTCTGGTGCATCAATACATCTATACCTAGCTCTTTTTCTCTCCTCTGGATTAAATTGACATATGCGAGCATACCCTCATCCTTGAATGCTTTTGATAATTCGCTGGTAATTGTTGCCGTAGAATGAAGTCCGGCGAGCGAGATCAATTGTAGAACAAATCCATGCTTTGCAATATCCCAAATGAAAGATTTCAAGGTTTCGTCAGTGAAGCCATGACCCATCCAGTTAAATGAGGGAGAAAGATTGTAGACTAGTCCTTTACCAGGGTATTTGGCACGAATCTCGCCAGAGAATTGTGCTGCATTTTTTACGTTAGGGTCTCCGGTTTCAACCCACAGGAGGTCAGCATATGGTGCATATTGAATCGCTCGCTTTGTGGCGGCTTTCATACCAGCCTTATAATGGTAGAAACCTTCTCGTGTTCGAGGTATATCAATATTGAATTTTATTGGGGTTTTGCTGTATTTTGAAGCTAAATCCTTTCGTTTCGTTATCGACATATCTCGATCTTGCTTAGTAGCTTCAAGGTACTCGTTGATACTCGACTCCGAGACACCTTGCTCCTTCAATTGCTTGAAAACAGCTTCGTCACACGTCATGAGTTCCGTTTTCTTCACCCATTCCGCTTCGAAAGTATCAATTTCAGCACCTGAAGCTCCCGCTAGTTCCATGGCTTGCAAAGTCTCCGCCAATGATTCGATATTGTCTTCTGCGACGCCTTTAATGAATTCATGATCTCGTACATCAATCGCACTACTGAGAAGCTTCCCGCTTTCGGAGTCTGTTCGTGCAATCACTAAGTTTTCCGAGCCCATGACATCCCATTGAAATCTCGCAGCCACCAAGCGATTGATGTGTTCTCCGACGGGCACCAAAACTTTGCCAGCAAGATGTCCGCACTTTTTCCCACCATGCATTTGATCCTCGAAGTGTACAGCGGCAGCTCCATTCTCCGCGAAAAGCTTGGCAAGCTTCAGAACAGCTGAAAGTCCGCCATGCCCCGTGTCTCCGTCTGCTATAATTGGTCTGAGATAGTCGGTGTATGGTGTCTTTGCCCGTTCTTCCTTGCTCAACTTCCTTCTAGCATCCCATTGTTTTCGGTCGTGCATTGACTGCGCTTTTGCCAATCGTTGGACTTGATTTGGTACGGTATTGTAAGGGTAATCGCCGAAATCTGGAGATACCTCGTTCGTGGTCGTAAGTACAGAAGAACATGCCCAACCAGAGATATACAAGACTTCCTGGTTCGCAGCTTGTTGGGTCATTTGTACAGGGTCAATAGCGCCCACTAGGAATCAATTGAATTAGCATATATCATCCCAGCTTCGAGCCTCATGGTTCATCTTACTTGTATGTATTGGTTTTCCATTTGCCTCCCGCTCTTTGATCAAATTGAATAATTTCCTAGCCATGACGGAGCTTGGGTATGATTGTTGCTGACTCCCACGTTTTGAGACAACATCTGCCGCAGAGTATGGTCTCTTGATTCCCTCATATCTTGGACTCTTCCACCATGTTTCCACTTCCGTAATTTGTTGTTCGTATAATTCATCCTCGGCCGCGCCAGCTTTCTGCGACTCCGGTACGAGCTGGAATGAATCCGATGCTAGAGGTCTCGATATTGGGTCATTGAGAGCTTTCAAGCTGGACATCCTATAGCCAGAGGTAGATAAATGACGAACAGTAATGACGGAACCTCTAACAGACAAAGCTCTGCGGGGCGCCACAGAAGCAATTCTGCGAAACATTTTGAGTTGCTCGATCAATAATGAGAGGGGTTTAACAGAAGGATAGCTTATACCTGCTCTTACCTATGCCGCTGATCAATCAGGAACCATTTATTCTACACCGTCATCGGAATGCAGTATGTATGAATCTTCGGTTTCGTTCGGTTGTTCCTTTGATGATCAATCGATGTGGCCGAGATACGTAGCTATAGTTTCACCCCTGGTGTGGAGATACTAACACACATTGTCGGTGTGAATGTCGGTCGAGCCATTTGTCCACTTGATTGAGCTACACCCACATACTTATTACTCACACTCCATAGAATACTATTCGTCAATGATGTCTTGTCCTAATGTGCTCCGTTTATCCTCGGCATAACCTACCGATGATCTGAAATGGATTATTCAACATCATCCCATATATCTCTCTTAAGGTCCTTGGTAGTACTTTGGTTTCATTTTACATCTACTTCAATCAGGCGTTGAGACGTTTTTCAAATGTGAGTTTGTATAGGAATTGTCTATCGCTTGTTCCATCACTAACCATTCAAGCAATATCCCTCCCTCAATTGAATTCAGTGTACCCCGCGAATCTGCCCCACGATTTACCCCATCCGAGCTCCACAATCAAAATATAAATCCGACGTTATGGCGATGAACGGCAGAACTGCGTCCCAGGCTTTCAGATCTTTGCGAGTATGGCTTCCCTTTCCAACTTGCTGCATCATGCTGATAATGATATTCTCATAGCCTGCCGGTGTTCGTACTTTCGCCCTCCCAGCTCATCGAAATTATGCTACATCATCCGAGCCAGATCTCAAAACTACCTTTAAGGAGTGCATTCCTGCGAAGCGTGAGTTGTTGAAGAAGGTCAAGGCAAATGGCAACAAGGTTATTGGCGAAGTCAAAATCGAGAACACAATTGGCGGAATGAGGTACGATAAATTCTCCACCGACATGTCATAAACGACACTAACGATATAATAGAGGATTGAAAGCCATGGTATGGGAAGGGTCAGTTTTGGATGCCAATGAAGGAATTAGATTTCACGGCAGAACTATCAAGGACTGTCAGAAGGAGCTCCCAAAAGGAACAAGTGGTACAGAGATGCTTCCAGAAGCTATGTTTTGGCTGCTTTTGACCGGACAGGTCCCTTCTACATCCCAAGTCAGACAATTCTCCAAGGAATTAGCAGAACAAGCTGTGCTTCCGGATTTCGTCAATAAAATGCTCGATAATTTCCCAAAGGATTTACATCCAATGACTCAATTCGCAATTGCGGTTTCAGCACTCTCCCACACATCAAAATTTGCCAAGGCATACGAGAAGGGAGTCAATAAAGCAGATTACTGGGAGCCAACTTTCGATGATAGTATATCTCTTTTGGCAAAACTTCCAGTTATTGCTGCTAAGATTTACCAAAATTCATACAGAGGTGGTGGAGCTCTCCCTGCTCAGGTTGATCTGGAACAAGATTGGTCCTACAATTTCGCAGCTATGCTTGGTAAGGGAGGCAAAGAGAATGAGAACTTCCAAGATCTACTGAGATTATACCTGGCTCTTCATGGTGATCATGAGGGCGGAAATGTTTCGGCACATACCACTCATTTGGTCGGAAGTGCTTTGAGTGACCCCTTCTTAAGTTACAGTGCTGGTCTACAAGGTCTTGCTGGACCTCTTCACGGGTATGTAGTCACATCTTTTTGGTCAAGTCACAATTACTAATTGTTCCTAGTCTGGCCGCCCAAGAAGTTCTTAGATGGATCTTACAAATGCAACAGCACGTTGGAACCAAATTCACCGACAAGGACGTATCCGACTACCTTTGGTCGACTCTCAACTCAGGCCGAGTTGTTCCAGGCTACGGACATGCTGTTCTTCGCAAGCCAGATCCCCGTTTCGAAGCTCTCATGGACTACGCTTCTTCCCGACCAGAGATTGCTAAAGATCCCGTCTTCCAACTTGTGAAGAAGAACTCCGAAATAGCTCCAGAAGTCTTGATGAAGCACGGAAAGACGAAAAATCCGTATCCGAACGTGGATTCTTCTTCCGGTGTTTTATTCCATCATTATGGTTTCCATGAGACACTTTACTATACAGCGACCTTTGGTGTTAGTAGAGGATTGGGACCATTGGCACAATTGATCTGGGACAGAGCGTTGGGATTGCCTATTGAGAGACCTAAGAGTATTAATTTGGAGGGATTATTGAAATTAGCAGAGTAGATCTGGGCTAGAGAAAAGTGCTAGGGAATGTATAAAATAGAACGTTTCAATGAATTAATACATGATTTTCAAATATTTATGCACACTTGTCTGTGGTGACTAGCGTAGACGGTCAATCCGACAAGAGTAGAATGGGATTCGACTTCTCGGCCGTGCAAAGGATCGAAATAACTAATCCATAAGTATTGTAATGGGGTTCGAAACTTCTATAAACATGTAATAACGAGAACCAAACCAAAGTGCAAGTTAATCGAAAACTGCTAAATGACTAATCTTACATGTCATGGGGTGTAAAGGTCGCTGATATATTTGAGATCAACCTAAATATTTCCAGCTCTCGGCGTCACTTGGTAGCATTACTACTTCTGTGAAGCATTCGAGTGCATCAAGCGTTCTCAGTTTCCACAAGATTCATTGAGCAAAACAAACAAATCTCGCTTACCCACAACAATACTTGTACTCGCCTATGCACATCCTAAATAAACAATTAAGCGCAATATAAGAGCCTAGTTCAATGGTAGCATGTCGCGCGGTGGGTTCGGGGGTTTATGAGAAGATTTCCGCTATGTGGGTTCAATTCCTACCTATTTCCCCGTTTCAGAGCTTGCCTAGTATTACGAAATGAAGTCCGTAATCACAGATGACAGTAATGATTCTTTGTGGATAAATGTCCATCGGGATTTTCTTGTATGTTCTTTTTGGTCTTCTGAAGTTGTATATTGGGATAATTCACTGAAGGGTCCACAATTTTGTACTGTTTATCATGGTTTGAACTTCACTGTACTATTTTTGGTCTTGCATGACGACATGTACGATTTTGCATTTGCTCTCATGACAAGAATTATGGAAAAGTACGGCACACCGCCACTTGGCACTGTACTGGATGCTTTTACTGGTCATATAAGACAACTTTTCTCTTCACGACATTACAGAAAAAAATAAATCAAACTTTCATTATCTACTGCGTCACAGAATACATCCTATTATACTTTTATCAGCAGACGAAACTCTAGACTAGAGGAAAAATCCACTTCAATGTCACTTCCACGAAACGAAAGCATGGTTGTGGCTGCAAATGGGAAAAAAGGTATGCGGACACCTCATCTTTGCCGACAAACTAAACGCTAAAATTACTACATGCGCAAAGCTAACAGATTAATAATTACAGTCCATAAAGTAGGCAAGAGACTCACGCGCGGCAAACAACTTAGCGAAGGTAACAAATACGCGTCTCCTACCCATCAAATTTTTTTCGACAGCTGATCCGTTTTCGTTCAAGAACAAGCAGTCGAAATCAGAAAGCTACGCTTACGGAGACTTCAAAGAATCAAGAAGCAAAAAGCTGACCGAATGATTACAAGAATGCTAGGGAAATTGAGTATGAATCCAACTATTGAGAAGAAAAGAAAAAGAACAATCAACCGACGAAGCGAGAAAGTGATTTCAAGAGTCTGGGATCAATTTCATAATGTTTTTATTTCGAAGGGTTATAGTCAAAATGTTGTTTAGCGTTCGATGTGAGCGAGCACATCAAAATCAATCCTGGTTACTGGAATGTGACTTTCTAGGTATGCTCAGCATATCGGCTTATCCCCTGAAGTTACTCGAAAGTGTCCTTTAGAGGTTCAAGTTATGAGCACTTCTAAGGTGAAAATTGACACCCAGACTCAAGATTAAGAGATGAAACATACACGGGGGAAAAGATGGGGAAAGAGAAATAGAACAGGATTTTGTCTTCATCGCATTTATTATTACTAGGTGTGGTGGGATTCAGGACAAGTCAAGTGTAATATTCAAATTCACTCGTGTGGAGAATCATAAAAAGCAAATGAGATGGACCCACTCTCTATCTACCACTATATGCAAAAATCCAAGTAGCAAGTCAAATTTTAAGGTCCTTTTAGGAAGCTATTGGAGACCGTGGAACTGATATAATCATTTATATAAACTATATTGACAAGTAAGTGACTTTCGTGTCACTAATAAGCATCCCATTCAGCCATTCTAGCCACCTCAATTTAAACATCAGTTAGATATCCTTATGGGATTACCCGTTTGGCACTGTGAAAAATTTGTTCCTTACCATGATTCTTTGTTGACTTGACTCTCCAATTTTTTTATTAGAACAATCATGCGCAAATGGAAAATTCCTCTTCCGCGATGGGTCTTGAGTCACAAGTATATACATGTGAGGCAAATTTATACCTATATGACATAATGTCGATATTGCCATTATGATTTCTATGTATTCGAAAGTTCGCTCATTATTTATTCCGCCCTAACTTGCTCTAGATTAGAATAATGTATGCAAAAAATTGTGTTCATTGTGGTAGAATAGAAGTTTATGTAGAAGATGCTGATCAGAAAAATCTACATATAGCCCGGATTGCAACACAAGAGCTAAAGCAGTGACTACTCCAGCTAAAGCAAAAAGACCTCGAAGGAAGGAAAAGCAAAAGAATTTTCACTCTTAGATCTCCAGATCACCAACAGCAGTTGTCACGCTTATTCAACGTAGAAGTTGGATCGTCAATTCTTGCGAATTGTAGGGGTTCAAACCCTCACGTTCGGAGCATGGCATAATCCCAAACCCACTTTGCCTCGTCCCACTAATCAGTGAAGCTGCCAACTCGGCTATGTCGAGTGCGCTTATGATTTTTGATGACTTTTGAGCACCGCTAGGATATATATTTAGCGAAATCTGGACTGCTGCTATGCCCTCTGAATGCATTGGATTGTCATCATCTTGTCGCCGGAACGCTACCAACAATTCAGGTGACATATATTTTGCTATTCAACTGCACTTGAACCATCTTCGATCAATTTCCTATAGCAGTATCAAAATGAAATGTCGGATGGATACGTTCGTGCTAGTGTAGTTGATAACAAATCTGTAGATATGCTGCCACTACGTAGAAGTAAACCCCTGGTGACATGGTGATCAAAGCAACTGCATGCAAGGTTTTGCGAAACTAATAGCAGCCATATCAAATAGAATATGTAGAGTATTAAAATTATTTACCGCGACTGGGATACTGAGAGACACGGAGTTGATATTAAATATGTGACTTTATAGTGACATGGTCTCTTTACTCGTCACGATTTTATGGATTGTGACATGATGTATAGCTGATGAAGAATGAAAGTTCAGGTGTTATTGCACACTAAATTTCATATAATTTAAAGGATTTGGCAGTTCCTGGCGATGGTTCTGCCTGATAAAGCAGCCAACTACTAAGCATTTTATACAACCACTGGGAAACATGGGTATCATCAAAGTTCATTTCACGATATACTCACTACTTATGGGCCTCTAACCAATTGATCTCGCAAATAGACTTGAGATAGCTATGGGGTTATCATTCGTATCGCGTGAACCAAAGCAGGTTTTACAAAAGACAGCGGATGAGTCCACATTTCCCGGGACCGCTATGGCCTAGGAGATACGTGGTGGATAATCATATAAATTCGAGAAGAATATGAACTGTCATTCAAAGTATGACGGCCTTTGAAAGCCCATTATCAATGTCCATGAAGTCAGAATACACGAATAGACGATTCTGTAATATCAATCCGCAAAGAGTCTGAAACTCCGCCCGCAAACACTACCACAGTGACTTGGACCTTAGCTCTCAGTCTTTCAATTGTTATGGAGCACACAAAACAAGGGAGAAATACTGTCCTAGCAGTTTAACCCCTTTTACGGTGGAGTCCAAACCAGCTTAGGACTCTGTATTTGAACTCATCTAGAGTTTCTGGATCTTCCTCTTCTACATCATCCTCATATTCGTCCTCTTCTTTGTTTACATCCGCACAGTCTCCTCCCACTCGTGGGTCTCTTAACCTCAATGCATACATTCGTCTTGCAAGGCGCAGAGCATCGTTGGCCAATAGTCTAGTCACTTCTGCAGCGTTGGCTTCTGCGATTCGACATTCCCGTCTTTCTTCTTGTTTGGCAGCCTTAGCAGCCGCAGCTCTCGCCTCTTTTCTCGATACTATTGTATACACATGTTATTTTCTATGCAAATCCAAGTATAAGCCACGCTGTTCTATTATTTACGCTTTGGTTGAGAGGCTGCAATGATAGCAGCGGCTTCTGCGGCAATGCTTTTAGCCTCTAGGAAAGCGAAATATGTTAGTCCAATTATATTTTGTCAAATGAGCATTTTGAAAGAATTAACGCCAGCAGGGTGGAGAACTTTTCATCTTACCCTTTTCGGCTTGGAAGACCGCTTCTGCCTGTTTGCAGGCTTCAATTATTTTCCTGCCAGATTCTCTTCTTCTTCTCTCTAATGCACTAAGATGTGCCTTATGCGCCTTTGCATAATTGGGTTTCTTGGCCTTTCTCAACTTTGTTTGACCATAGGGCATTATGATAGACAGCCAAGCTTTTGTTAATAGTCTAATTTGAGTGTGGTGAGTGTGGAGAGGCAGCAGCGATAATATTGTTCATAATTATTTTGTTTATGCTTCTCCAGCTGAGTTGTGTCAGTTATTGCGATCTGAGATTTGGCCAACGAAGAAGCAATTATTTTAGGGTTATAATACAGAGGTGCATGCCATTCCAGCATGGGACCAAATCATTGTCCGGAGTTTCAAATTTCCCCGCCTTCTCAGCCTCTTCTAGATTCACTATCAAGCCTGCCGAGCCTTTACAACGGCGGGGCGTTAGGATCTTCCAAGCATTGATCTACTCTCATCAACTGCTTCCCTGTTTTCTTCGCAATCTCTATAAACTGTGGCAGATAGTTGACAGTCGACTCGTACAAATAATGCATCACCACTAAGTTCCCTCCCTTATCCACGTCATTTTGAAAGTTCGTAAGCTGTTTTTCGGGAGTGTCACTCAAGGCCCATAACCAATCCTGTACATCGACCGACCATTCGACGAATTTGGAACCCGGAATGAGCGCCGCGAGACGCTGACGAACACGTGCGCCTTCTGTGCCGAAGGGAGGGCGAAAATAGGTTGATGTGTGACCGGAGAGGGCGGTTGACACAGCTGAGATATCATTGTTGAGTTCCCAGTCTATGGATGCGAGGTTGGGCAGGCCTTCCATAGGGGGGTGCGTGTAAGAATGATATGCTACTTGGTGACCAAGGCTCAACATGTTGGAATAGACTGTTGACAGATTCGTAGATGGGTCGAGGAGAGCTGCACCAACGGTGAAAAATGTTACGTGGATACCTGCTGCTGCGACGGAAGAAACGACTCTTTGGGCGAGTTTTGGATCACCGTCATCGATTGCGAAAGCGAAGGAGTTAGGACGTGTGCAGGAGAATATGAGAGGTGCTGTTGGTAGTTTGGATGGAACCAGGAAGCCAGATGGAACGGAGTTAACGATTTCCATTTTTGAGATGACTGTATCATCGGAGGTATAGAAACCTTTGAGCGCGAACCCAACGCTGAGTTTGCGGTTGATTTCGAAGTGGGAAATTGGTACATAGATGTCCGTCTTGCCCGAGTTGGAGTATCTAGATGCTTCCACGGAATCCCATGTGAACGGGAATGGACTGAGATTGGGATTGCAAGTGGGGTTGTGTTGCTGAAGAGCAATGGTAAAGGCATTACTTCCGGTAAAAGCGATGTGAAGATAACCTTTGTCGTTTGGAGTAAAGTCGAGACAACCATTGGAAATTTGAGTGTACCAACCGAGGTCAGAATTACCCTTGGTATTGATAGTAAGTTTGTTTCCGGATTGTTTGTAGGTGGTAGTCTCATCTCCACCATGATGGAAGCCAAGGTTGTTAGAGTCTGCCTTTCCGAACGTATCAATGACATATGCTGAAGGTCCTGTGGTTGTCGGAATGGTCGAAGATGGCTCAACGACCGGTACAGTAGAGGGAACTGGGTAAGCAGTTCCTGTGTTTCCACAATAGAAAGACATTGGGCCGAGAGTAATTGGCTTGCTAATGCCAGAGAAAAGAACAGAGACCAAATTATCAGTGTCGAGGCCGGAAAATTTGGAGAAAGGAATGGTGTAGAACTTCTCAGTCCCGTCAAAGCTCCATCCCAGATCCGCAGACGAGATATCTATCAGCGTGGGGTTGCCAGAATCACAAGTCTTCGAAGTCTGCAGCTCGATACCCAATGTGGTCCCTTTTGCGGCCTTGATAGTTAGTCCAATCCCGCCATATACATTGGTTGCTTTTAAACAGCCAAACATGGTATACCAGTAAGACGAGCCATCAGCGCGAGATGTCAAAGTAAGATGATTATTAGCCACAATGACCGAAGTGGCGGTATCCGCCCTTCCTGTCACTGATGACATACTACCATCATCAGAAGACGGTTGTAGCATGGCATTGTAAAATAAGAAAGTCAAACGAGATTGAGATGCAAAGTCATCAATCAACAAGTTCGTGCAAGCTCCTGCTGGAGCCGAAGCACTGACGCTGCTAGCCACAACTTTCGAGGTAACACTTGGAGTGACTGTGCTCAAAGTGGTAGCTAAGGTATTTGAAACTGTCGAAGAACTAGTCGTCACAGCAGCGCCCTTGGTGGATATCGTACTGGATGCCGGGATTGAACTTAATGTACTAGACGTCACGATTGAACTTGATGAACCTCCGGCACCACTGGCACAAACAAAATTCGTCTGGCCAATCTCCCAAGCACCTTTAACACTGAAGGATTCCCACAGAACTCCAGAAATCGCATCTAGATTGGCTCCAGGAAAAGCACTCAGTTGTACCGTAACAGTTTGGGTACCTCCGGTCATTCCAGTGATAGTGGTGTAGTAGCTTTTAAAAGTTGTCGCTGTACATGAACTCTTAGTCTGTAGCTCTAGATTGAATGAAGAGCCGGCCGGCCCTTTGACTGGAAATGTTATTGCATTGTACTGCTCCGTTTTCGCTTTCATGCAATCTAAAGTGGTGTAGAAATAACTATTGGCCTTGCTAGTAAATGTGATTTTTTTATTTGCCGTATCGGCTTTCAAATTAGTGGTTGTGCCGTCGTCTGTATCATTTGTCAGAGCCGGAGTCACAAATTTGGAGGAGTGACTTACCACTTGTCCACTGTCCAAGAGAATTGGTATGACTGGAGAATTTTGCATAATTATCAATTAATAGATTACTTGAGCAAGCAGCTCTCACAACCGTAGCGCAAGACACCATCCCCCATACCAGATCACCCAATGATAACTTCATTCTGTCGATGGGCAAAATCCAATAAATGCGAGCTCCAAATATAGATGACGAAGCAGAAACAAAGTATGGCTTCAAAAAAGAAAGGACGCCGACAACGATTAAACGAGTCGAGCTATGGAGATGCTTATATGCAAATGAATGATAAGAGCTGAAAGAAGAAGTGGTATAATCTGAGGAAAATATGCAACTACTTAACAGTTTTCCATTTTCAGGGTTGCACGTCAAATCTGCACGTATCCTTGGCTTGCATGCAATATATTTGAGTATCTATCCAGAATTCGTCGCTCGGGCCTGGTGATCCTTATATCATCATCACATCTGAATCTGATCTTTCCACCTAATAAATTACCCCAAGAAATCCAAGACGTGAAAATAAAGTCCAATCCACCCTGCATAAAGAAGAAAGAAAACATTTCACCAGTAATCATGTTACGCCCCAACCGAATTGTGTCTGGATTTCCAGGTACCTGGGCACATCTTGGTATCTTGTGTGGTGGCTTGCGACCCGCTTTTTGAATGCTGATCTTTTCGGGTCTTTGACGCCCCAACGGACTGATGCATAAGGCTAAAATTCTCGGCTGCTAGATGCACGAATCATACATGGAGAAAAGGGGATCACTCGGATCCTGTGGGCGAGGTTCAATTTAGACTTATTCTGACTTCGAATGTTTATGAGTCGGAGTACGATTTGTGAATAGATATGGCGTCTCCCCTGATTCAGTTTCATCGCTAATCCAAGTGTTATCGGCTGCTCAGATATAGCAACGGAAAGATCTGTGAACCTGAAACATCTAAAATGCTTAACTTGCAGTAGCGTCAACGAAACCGAGGGCGACTTAGCAAGTGAAGTTTTGACAACGTCCATTTACGGGTAGATAAAATAGGGGCAATGCTAGTTGAAGTAAAATTGAACATCTATGACATCTCACAGATAGCACAAGCCACAACAAACACCTCCGCCAGGAAGATCCAGAAATTGAATGATTTTCCTCGAAGATGGAGAAAGCCAATAAAATCCTTTGCCACCGATAGGATAACAGATCCACTTCAAGGCAAGGCTTTGGGGTTAGAATGTAGTAGTAGTCTAGAGTCCGAGTCTAGGAACCTCACAGACCATCTAGATTCTAGCTATACCTTAAGGCGAAATGTGACTTAAAAATCCGCCATACCCTTTCCAATTCATCTCATCTCCATTCCCAACCAGCTTCTCCAGCTTTTCCTTCATTGTTTCTGAAACCGCCCATCACACTCGTTCTCACCTTCAACGCGTATCTCGCTTGTTCATTCTTCCGTTTGAGTTTGTTTGTTGATCTCGTCAGTCTGACTTGGTTCAATTTTTATATCCGTACGCAATGGAACATACATTCTGTGCTTCGCTCTCCGTGTTAAAGTATCCTCATTCTTGCCCCATTCATATCCATTGACTCACCCATCAAAAAATGTTTTCTTTCCTGTTCAATTTTCTCATTCGTACTTTTCGCTGCCATCACAATTTCTGGACTGAACCTAGCACAGCTGTCTGGACCCTTCCCAAGTTAATACTTCATCTTCTCCCTGCTTCTGTACCTCTCTTCTAGACCTTTTTTCATAACTAGAGGGAATTTTGTTCTTGCCATAATGACCCAGAATTGTAATTATTTGCGCGCATTGTTACTTTGATTAATAATTTCCCAGTGGTCGTACTTCTGATGTTTGGTGGGGAAGTTTGGGACGCAAACATGTTGTCAAAAGAACTACCATAACAGGATAGAGATGAAAATTGAAGTCTCATGTAAAGAAGCCACAAGATGTGGACAGATAATATGCACCTAGTATTGTGTACGGTTCACTACCGGAATGCATTTAAAGAGACGAAGTGGTACACATGAATATTCCCCGCAATGATATATATGTACGGCTATCTCCATATACACTTCCCCAGCGCGTGGTTTATATATTAAAACAAGACGTATAACAATTGTATCAAGATTGGCATACGTTTTGGCGTAGTGGTCTTGATACTCGACTCTTGGTAAGTATTACCCCAAAGATTCCAGCGACGTTTAATGAATCTGCTTACCACCTTACACTGGTTTCGGTGTTATAAACCGCGCGATGAAGTGTCCCGTCTTCTAGGAGCAATCCTAGAAGTCAGGAGGGCCTGTTTCAATCGTTCTCCGAAACCAATTTAGTACCATACATTTATCATATAATTCTTGAACATCTGTTCGAATTTGATTGACGGTTTAATGCCCTCATTATCATTACATGGTTCAATCCCATGATCATTGATAGTCTTCGGACATCAACAAACAATCTTTGGAAACTCTCCCTCTTCTTAAGAAGAACACTTTTTTTGTTTAAATCTTTTTTCTATGGATCATTCATAAAGTATGCGCAACAAAGTAGAAAAGAAGGAGCGTAGCCAGAATGATTCTCTATATATTTTTTGGGTAGGAAGTTTATTTCTCTAGGTATCCACATTGGAACCGAGTTTGCTGTGTTTGCTGTGTTTGCTATGCTTGCTTTGTTTGCTCCATCATAGGCCTCGGGACACTCGAGAGTGAATATTGGAAATTCACGGAGTAATAGATTGAAATCAAGAGCCTCGCGCAGATATAAGTGTTTCCATCATTTTTATGCATGCAACCCTTGATGGATACGTGTAGCAAAACGTAGCACTTATTTGAGGGTAGCACTTATTTGAAGGTTCCGCTCTGACAAGTTGGATAGTATTCGATGTCCGATGCTGCAATCAGTACAGGCTGGGAGAAGAAGCCACCTACTAAGTATTTTTACAAAAACAGTAACCACGGAAGTCATGTTGATTAGATCCAGACACCTACTTGGGGCTCAATATTAATAAACAGCATCTTTTGGAAGACGGCGAGAAGAGCAATACTGTAACAGTTGAGACAAAACGCCGGAAACATTCAACTTCAAACAGTATTCGGATATTATTTTAGGGAAACGACATGATTTAATGAGGGTTCAATATTTGTCTTCGCATAGTCATGGAATTTACTTGAATTTCTAGAGCATGCAAGTACCAAGATTTATCATTTCCCACATTTTGAAGTTCAGTACACCACGTATTGCTTTGATCAGCTAGATTGAAATATTGTTAAACCTTGAGATGTCGGTGATAACTTCGCAAGTAGATGATGCTACATTTGGTTACTTGCGGTTCATGAAGAGCCCCACTTGCTTAACCATTTTAGCTAAGAAGACAAATTTTTCGACAACGACATGTTATCAATACACCTTGACTTACACAAAATCTTCGTTGTGAAGAGAACCCAATATGCACTTAAATAACAAGGAAACAGCTTTGAGGCAGACAGATTATAGTGATATACTTTGGGATTTGTCGAAGTTCTATGAGTAGTCTTATGCATCAACAAAGTCGTTGAGCATATGATTATGACAAGAATGGTTCTATGACCAGAAGTCAGCCTATAGCAGCAATTGTTAACTTCAAAACATCTGCAGGTACGTCCCCTGCAAATCGATCTTTGGAGTATGAATTAATGCAATCAAGATCTTCTATAACAGCCGAAGTCGAGACCATGTTACGATCTTTCCGAGATACGGACACGCTGTAGGCAAGATAGTTTGGCTGTCCAGTGATGTTCATTTCGAAACTCCGGCAAAGCAGTAGAGAAAGAAGGGGATCTTGAGTTTCCGCATTTGTATCACAAGTGTCTCAGTCCTCGAGCCCTTTATTCCGCTTGGACGATGCGCTTGTTTCTTTTATGATGCTTCTGATTTCTTCATGTTCTATCTATCATTTTCATCGTATACACAAGGTTTTGTCCTAGTGAGTGTGTACCTGGTAAGTACCACTCTTGACATTGATAGTGTACGCGAAGTGAGCTGTATACACCGGTTCAATAAAAAATTCTACTGAGTGGCAGATGATCGAGATATAGCTTTTACCAACTGTCGGTGAGAAAATTTGTCCCCACTCACTGCATCAACTGCTATCAGTCAGCTTTTCTTCAATTGCGTTATTCCGCGAAAGGTTCTGAGCACTAAGTGCAGATATCGAAAAATGCAGCGTCGTGGTGTCACACTTGCAAGTTTGATCGGGATAAGAGAGCTATTTCTATCAAAAATGCTCGTAGGCAAAGAATTCAATTATCATGGTCGTCCCTCCTTCATATTTACCCCCAAAGCAGCCCACTCGTTTCCATCACTGTCATATATGTCTGAATCATATCCTACGTCTACCATCTCCTCGTCTTCATTATCCTCTACATCCTCTGCTTCTTCTTCATCGTCTTCTATATCTTCTTCCTCTTCATCATCACTTCCAAGGAGCTCCTCTCCAAGGACTTCTGAAGGCCAATTTCCGATTATATCAGCAGCGACAGAACCCCCAATTTTCTGACCGAGACCAAGTGCAGCCAAAGGAACACCGGTAAGTTCGCGAAATACACTACGGCGAGACAAACGTTCCTTCTGGCTAGGAACTCGGCTTCTTTTGTGGTGGCGACCACCGGTACGTCTTGCTGCGACGGCAGCGATTCTAGCGGAGAAGGGTTGTTGAGATGTAGCATGCAGTCGGGAGGCGTTATCGGCTGGTGGAGCTTGGCTGGTTGAGGTAGCGGCAAAGCCGCCAGAAGCAACACTATCACTGAAGTTTGATGCGGCAGGAGTGGTGGCGGTAACTATTAAGAAAGCGCAGTTAGCATATTGAGTCTATAAGAAAGATTAGGGTGTCATGAAGTGAGTATTGAAGAGAACCAAATGTACCTCGAGGACGGAACACTAGTTGTTGTGGGGCTGAGAAGTCGGCAGTGGTGGCACCGAAAGACGAATCCGCTGCAGAAGAAGAGGGAAAGCTTTGAACTAGAGCTGCGTAATACATTAGCTCTTTCTTCGTGACCCCACTGAATTGCAAAGAAATGAACTCTGAAGTTTCGATATGAGATTGTACTCACAAATACCAGCTCTTGCGGCACGTCTCTCTTCTCTAATAACCGTCTTTCCCTTCGCCTTTCGCAGCGCGAAGCTGCTGCTGCCGTTCTTTCCCGGGATAGCCCATGATTATATTGCGTTGTATTGTAAATTTCATGTGTAGCTCAAGGATGTGGGATGGCAAAGTGGTAATTTTCGATTTGTTGTAGGAGGTAAGAATTCGTATCGCGGGAAGGAACGGGCGAGTTTGAGATATGGGACACTGTACCGAAAATAATTCACTACATTAACAAATATTGTTACGTCAGTCAGAACGCGTGGAATGATTTTTGACGCAACTGGTAAACAACGTTATTCCTTGATTTTTCGGGAAGATTTATCGAGATCTATAACGATCAGATGATATCGGCTCAAGTGGCATCCAAGGGTGTGCAATTTTGCCAATGAAGCACACTCTATACCAAAGAATAACATGTTTAGAACGAGATACACAATATCAAGAATCTAGAAGTCATCTGATGGTGATGTTCTTGCTAAATGCACTTTTGAGGAGTAATAAGGGTTCTCGCTTACCGATAGAGAGATTCTGATAGTGTGCTGAAGGTTGCAGAGGACAGAGCGAAAGTAATCACCATGTTGTGATTTAATGAGATTTGAATAAAATGAATCTCAGTCAAGAGTAGCGGTGATATATACAAAGAGCACATTAATTGACGAAACGAAAATATCTGTATGGCCCAATACACAAACTAACTCGAGAAACAAGACAGAAAGAATTATTCTGGGCTTGCATCTATACCTTCACAGACCATTCAAGTAGATTCCGCCTTAAGAATGTGTAATCTAGATGTTCTATCCTCAACCGTTTTGCAAGAAGCAACTAAATTGTCACTGCAAATACAACGACAATGGCTACTCTCGTCCTTTTCCTCTTTATAATCTATTTCCTTACCTCTCTGACAGAGACCTCAAATCCGATTGTCTGAACACTTATAATAACGCCAAAATACTTGTCTCTCTGTGCTTCATGATTTCTTATCACTTCATCCCATATAAACAAGCTCAAGCCTATTATTTCTCCTCAATATCGTAGTTTCAGTTTCGCTAGAGCTACTGTGACGAATGCTCTCAATCTCGCTAAATGATTAGTAAGAATGGGTGGTGTGTAATTCGATCAATCCATCATGCAACATTTATTTACTTAATTTCCTATAAGTCTTTCTATCAACTATCCTTCTTTTTCAAGTCTAGATCTATCAATTTGCGCTTCCTTCCAAGATGTTGCGCTTAGAATTAGATGACTTAGTCATCATGTCCCACCTTTCATTCGCTTAATCGCTTGGGGCCAATGCTAGACGGATATCGATATAACCGCGGATTTTCTACGGTTCTTCTCCATGGTGTACATAGCACAAGATAGAGATAAAACCTTAGTCTGTACCTGATCTTTGGTTGATATCGATTAATCCGGTATTTTGATGTTAGATGGACAACCAAGGTTATCATTTGAGATCTTTGTTATTCTACTTTTGACCATTGATGATGACGTAAACACTAGGCTATAGATTGGGATTAAATATCCTAACAAGTAGACTGAGATATTATAATATAGGTACCTATATATAGTAATCAAAGAAAGAAAAAACGTTCGGCGGTAGATTATTCTCGTGCTACTAAAAACGTAATTTATCTACTCTCACGCTGCTGAACTTGACTTGAGTTGACTCTCATAGTACTTAGATTTCTGAGTAGCTGGAATCGAAATTGTTTTAAAGCGCAGTCTATGGTGTTTTTAAAATCAGAGTGTTTGATATTGAAAACTAGACTATATAACATTTTTGAAACAAGAATATAAAATATTAAAAACTAGAATCTGAAATAAGAAATATAGAATCTATATGAACATAGTAAATAGCTTAAATTTATTAGTAACTATTGTAAGCCAAAGTAAAAGAGACTAGCTCTTTCTAGTAGACCTTATATAAGGTCTGATATCTCTCATATAGCTAGCTCTTTAGACTGAATACGGTATTGACATTTAGGACCTACATATCGTAGGTACTATGTATCCTTTTCAAACTAATAATCTTTAAAATCTAGGATCAGATATAGGAAATCTATGCTTGAGAGCTAGATTCTATGTATAATAGGATATAATTTTAGTAGTATAAGAGTAAAATTCTAAACTTTTAGTAATACAACAGTAGCTTATGGTACTTCTAAAGCACTCACGATTTTGGAGCTTAGAAAATCGATATCAAAACTAAGGAGGTATAACTTCGAATATAAACGCAAAGCTGACTAGTACAATAATGCAATGTATACTCTTCAATAGTGTCATGCTAGAGCCCAAGACTCTGCCTACAACCCAAAGGCATGTGGAGCTCAGCACTCTATCAATCAATCACCGTAGAGCACGCAGAGCAGCAAAACGCCCCGCAATCTAGTTGCCCGAGAGGATAGCTTGGCCCGCTTTGTGGCCTCCAACACCACCGCTACCACCCCCAAAAGATTCCCCGAGCTCCCACATAAACATCATCGTCATCTTCCTCGTCTGGTAGCTTCCAGCCATCGAGAATCGTGGTCCAGATCCTATCTTCCTCTTCGCCCGCTGCCTCTCTCTCTTATGACATCGTTCGTTAGCTTTTATTCTCAATCATATTATGCCCAAGAACAATGAACCGTTATAGTGCTTTGTATAAGAACAAAGAACTCTGATAATAGTAGAGCACTAACCTCTTTCAGCCTGAATTGCAGCTGCATTTGCTGCCTTCTCAGCAATTCTCTCTTCTTCCTCTCTACGTCTCCTGGTTCTCGTAGCCGCGTTGGCTGTTTTAGGCTTAGGTGCAAACTTTCTATCTTTTTTGGGAAGCATGGTGAAGGTTATCTAGCTGTTATTTGCTAGTTGGGTGGTGGATAAAGAGAGTGAATTGTACTGTTGAATTCGATGTGTTAAAGGTGCGCGAAGAGGAAATATCAACAAGTCGCGTACAAATTTTGTTTGTCCCAAATCACGCCTCTCGCCTAAAAAGAGATGGGACGAGAAGATCACGTAACTGACGTCTAACATAATCCATTGTCCCAATTAGATACAGACTTCTTATGTCAAAGGATATTCGATGTATATATTCTCCTGTTCGCGTTTACAATTCTCTAGATCTGTGTTTCGATCATTCATGCCGAATCACTTGAAGCTTAATGGGTGACAGTGCCAGCATTTTATTTAAAGGCTCGAGGATTTGAAGCTGCCAACCATACAGTACGAGCAAGAGCCCAAAAATTACAAGGAAATGATTGCGAATTAACTCGATGATCGTAAAGTATGACCTTTCTAGAAAGTAGACCTAGCGACTAGGTATTTCCCAGATAGTCCCAGCTCCCCGAGCTCCACCCCATCCATACTCATCCCCATCCCCATCTTTATCCAGATCCGTATTCTTATCCTCATGCCTGTTCTCATTCTCATCCTCATCGACATCGTCGTTGTTATCTTTTTTTTCCACCTCCGTCATATCAACATCATTGCCAATCTCCTGTGCCTTCGTGCTTAACGATGCAAGTTTCGCGAGTTGCGCTTATTGCAGCGCTCTAGACGTAGTTCTGCAGCAATAGCAGATTGAGCCGCAAACTCAGGTAAGCCTACTCTCTTTTGCCTCTTTTGAAGGCTGCGCTTCAGTAGAAGGAGCAATGCGGTGCAATATTTAATCCTTCTTTTTTATTTTTTCTATGTAAGAAGCCATGATTGTCATGATGAATTCAAAAAATCGATGGTCTAGTTTTACATTTTGACGAGAAATTGTGGTCGCGAGCTTGTAGAGAAATTCTAATTCCTTTGAAAGAGCGAAAGAACAAGAATTCTGTTCTTCAATGATGCTCGGACCAGCGATATTTCTGATTAAAGGATTAATTCACATGGTTCAGTGAGTTCATGGGGTGCTCCGCCCACGTAGCTATTTGGAAAGCATTCATAGTACTCTCCGAAGAATTGTCACTACATTTGATAGCGCCGTCATTGCGGACCCAGGCGCCTCATAGCACCCGAGTCGCATGATATCTCAGCTCGAGATTGTACATAGTCTAATATATACATCGACCCACTTTTAAACATTTCGCTCTTTTAATTGGTTGATATACATAAAGTCCTCCCAGAGGGTGTAGTCAGCCGTTTTGTAAATATACCTATTCAGTCAAATTTTAATGAAATCATTTCTATAACTTTCTAAATAAAACATTCAAAAATACTTTACAAATTTTATTAAATAAAGCAAGTCCGATACGAAAAGAATATATTTAAAAGAATTATTATATTTTAAAGAGAACAGTTTAAAGTCTGATAATGAAGATATGATTTTGCTTATTTTTTAGATTTTTAAAGATAGATCTTTTATTATCGTTTTCAATGCTTCAAAAGAAGACTGAATTTTCTTTACTATATTAATATCACTACATTCAAAACTCATGTAGTTCTATCAAGTATTGTAGAAAATCTTGAAGAAAAAAAGAATTAAAAAGTGATATTTCGCTTACTAATTCGGCTTCAAAACTACCTTTTAAATCTGAAATAACTTTCTATAAAATTGAACTGAAATAGTTAACTCTTCTAACTTCAAAAAAGAATAAATAGGGCTTCAATTCTATTTAGTTTTTATTAAGATTCCTTCATTCTTGAATCGGACTCTTGATATATCAGAATCTAAACAAGTTCAAAATGATGGTTAAAATCTGGCTGAAAAGTCATCTTTAGAAAACGACCGACTAGACTCTCCTAACGGAAATATTAGAAATTATATAACCGAACGCCTCAAGGGTTAATGAACACGCTAGACTAGATCGTACAAAGATTTGAAGAGGCAAAAGATAATCAAATCTGGAAGTGATTAAGTACGACACTGGATCTTGAAACAATATCTCCCTCGGTGTTCAATACGGTTTCACACAACAAAACAAGTCAAATAATAGAAGTGATGCTGATTAATATCTCTGCAGATTTGATAAAAACAAATTTCTTGAAAAGCCAGGGGCCTTTGATAGCTACCTGCTAGTCAGGAATAAAGACTCGACTCAAAATCCGCGCGACCGCGCAAATTTCCTCCACCTCTAGCCCCAGTAAAGAACACGAGGATGAAT